TGGAAAGCAATAACTAGAGTGTTGAACTATTTGCGATACACTAAGAGTTATGGGCTACACTTTGGTAAAGAACCAGCAGTGTTAGAAGGGTATAGTGATGCTAATTGGATTTCAGATTCTAGAAATTCCAAATCCACAAAAGGATATGTCTTTACACTTGCTGGAGCAGCAGTATCCTGGAAATCTTCCAAACAGACATTCCTGGCCAGATCAACCATGGAGTCAGAGTTCATAGCTTTAGACAAAGCAGTCGAAGAAGCAGAGTGGCTTCGGAACTTCCTGGAAGATATCCTGATGTGGGAAAAACCAGTGCCAGCATTACGTGTACACTGTGATAGTCAGTCGGCTATTTCTCAGGCACTGAATAATCTGTATAATGGCAAGTCTCGTCACATACGAAGACGACATAAGACCATTAGGCACCTGATCTCAAGTGGTGTACTCACGGTTGATTACATCAAGTCAGCGGAAAATTTAGCGGATCCGTTCACCAAAAGCTTGCCGCGAGATCAAATCGTTAAATCATCTAAGGGAATGGGCTTATTGCCTATCACGAAAGAGGATGTTTGATGGAAACCCCACCTACGCGATTGGAGATCCCAAGAGGTTGGTTCAAAGGGACAACTAAATCAAACAGAATCTGAGAAAAGCACTGTAAAATGCTCAATTTTCATGATGAAAACAGTGCTTCCTGTAATTATGTAAGGTTAAGCTTTATGGATTTTAATGAGATAAGACCATAGCCTTCATATACATGTATATAGAGTATAACAGGATACTTTCTGTGTATGTGACAGGTACTTGGCAATCACCTAGTGAGTGTGAAATGAGGCCGTTTCTAGGAGAATAAAGACAAGGCTATACTCTCCAAGTTCACTCATGATAAACCAGGCACGTTCAAGGCCACAATGAACACAATAGAGAACTGAATGCTACGAGAAGACAAAGCTGGGTTGTATCTGTTGATTTGGTTTACACCAAAATCCGGGTGGTTCAAAACATCATGTTCACTTCCTGGAGAGTAAATCCGACAGATATTAACAATGAGTAGTACAAGGCTGAAAAATGCTACTTCTTCAGACACAGTTAGTATTCGCTTATACTCTCGAAAAGTCCGTCTGTCGAGTCAGTAGTCTAGTTTGAGTCTAGTCTGCATAGTCTATCGAGTCTGCATATGTATAGAGTCATTTCTATTCATGTGGGGGATTGTTGGAACCCAATATTAATAAGCATTTGGACTTGTAAAATTGAGTTTGTGTGTGAATAAGAAATGAAGTTTAATAAGCAAATGGGCCTTATAAATTCATTTGAGATTTGGGTTTGAGCCTATGGAAATGAAATGTTCCTATTGGCTATAACTAAAAGTGGAAGTTTAGTGGAAGTGTATTTGTCCCACATTGCTCACAAAGGAGAAAAATCTCTTGTATAAATATGACCTTCTCACAATAAGGGTCAACAGCATTGTGGAAGTAAAAGGGCATTATGCAAAAATACCTACGCGCGCCACCGCCGCCGTCGTCGTCGCCGTCGCCGGTGCCGGTGCCAGGCTCGGGCTCGGGCTCGTTGCTCGTTGCATTTTTTAATTGGCTCTTAGGGCTCTTGGGCTCTATATAGCTGGGTGTGGATCGTGGGCTTATTAGTTCCTGCGAAATATTTTTTGCATATTGAAAGGATAAATCTTAGGAAATAAAAGATTGCGTCCAGATAATAAAGGAAGATTTCCGAATCCTTTTACTCGTGGAAATAGGAGAATATCTCGTAATATTCCTTTTCGCAAAAGCTTATTCCTTGCGGATCAAACTGAACCTTCCAGTATAAATAGACGCCCTCTTCTCTCATTCTAGATCATCGAATGAAGAATCGAATTCTCGAATACACCAAACACACAACAAATAATTCTTTCCAGCTAATCCCTCTTGTCTTAATATCGTAAGTGTCTCGAGAGCTATAGCGTAGTATAATTTCAGTTCGCAGATTCTATTACAGGTGTTGCGCAATAGTCTCATCACGGTTGTATCCTGGGATTCAAAAATCGCAAACAAACCTTCACACATTACGGGCGATTTATTGAGTTAAGGAAAGAGATCATATCTCGACTCCGTGTTTTCGTCTGTTTTTAATCGGTTTTCTAACTCTCGTTTTAATCTCTTACCTTAACATATCGTTTATAAAATTGCTATTTTCTATTCGTGATTTCAATCGGATTTTCGCGGTCTTACAGTGTGTTCGTATTGTAATGTGTAATCCATTAAATTTAGAGTCATTGACAATAACAGTATCATTGATGCTTTTTGTCAACATCCGTCATCGAAGACAACTAGAGTATATCCCTTGCTTTGACGATTATGAAAACGAGACACTACTATAAATTCTCGAGAATTAAAAAAGCATTCATAAAACGGTCCATTACCCCATTTAAAACGATCAATCAGTGTCATTGATTATGTTTTAGCCATTAAGAAGGAAAATATATTATCTTAATTAGCACTTTTAAGTTTTAGTTACATTTTTATAAGAGTTATAGAGGGAAATGCTTGATTATGGGAAGAGAAGGTTTAGTTCTTCATATATAAATTAATGTATTTTTTCATTAAATTGTTTTTTAGTATTTAGAATGCTCTAAATGCTTTATGATTTTCTTATTTCATCATTTATATGAGATTAGTATCATTTAGATAATCAAGCAAGAAACAGACTTTTATAAGAGCATCTCCAATGTATTCCCCCATTTTTATCTCCAAAATGGGGAAACTGCAAAATGGAGTTAGATTTCTCTCCAATGTATTCCTCCATTTTCAACTCCAAAAAGAATATTCTGAGTATATTATTTCTTTTTATTTTATTGTTAATTACTAATAATGCACTCTATTTATAAAAATTACAAATGAATCCATTTATTTTTTTTTTCTTAAAACTTTCATAAATTATAATATTATTCTAAATTCAACCACTATAATATAAAAATAACATTACACACCATTTAAATAAGAAAACAAAGTACATTTTAATTTAAATATCACCATTTTAATTTAAATATCACCAAGTGGCATAAAAAAAACTAAAATGAAAAGAAAAATCGATGATGGAACATCAGCTGTTATCAACTCAGCAAAATCCGCCTCAATCTGGTTCATTTGGACAATATTTTAATGATCTTGGTGGATCTGGCAGTTTACCAGATTTTTATTAATCAGTTGTTGTAATAAATTTATTTTATGTTATTTGTAATTTTAGTACTTCTTATGTATTTTTAATTTTATATTATTTCTAGTTTCATTTAATTTTCTTATATTTTTTATTTTATATTTTCTCAAATTTTAAATCTATCTATCTTTAATTTTAAATTAAATATATATAATATAAATGATTAAATTATAATTTAAAAATATAGTTTTAAGAATTAATGAAAAGTAAATGATTATTTTGTAAATAAAAAAGTTCCCCTGCAAAATGGAGTTGAAAATGGGGTTACTCCGTATTTGGAGGAAAAAATAGCATTCCTCCATTTTGCAGGTGAAAATGGAGTAGGGTTGGAGAAAAATTTCCTCCAAAATGGCATTTGAAGGAAGAAATGGGGTAGGATTGGAGATGCCCTAAATCAATAGAGAAAATTTAAATAAATAAAATGGCAAAATAATTGATTAATACAAAATAAATATATTGGCGTTAGTCAAAGAGGGATGTGCAAGACGATTAATTTCCTTATATGATTTTTTCTAAAATACACAAAAATGGAAAGTGTAAGCATCGAACAAGCAATGATGGGTGCAAAACCATTGAGTAACCGGGGACAGTTACAAAAAATAGCCATGAATTTCGTATAAATTTGGTAACACTTTTAATACAAATTTTAATTTGCGCATCAGGTCAGCCCTGCTTAAATATGCTGGCTCCATAAATAAAGGCACTAGTTCTTACTTCTTATTGTGTGAGAGAAGCAAATTTTGTGGAGGCAGAGAAACCATTTTTTTTCTCACTCGAAGGCGAGTTCTACTTTTTATTTACTTTTCAGAATGTTGTTACATTGCGTTTAATTTCATAATGCTTTTCATCTTTTTTGTATTTGATTTTCCCAAAGGTGAACAATTTTGAACTGTTTCTCGAATATAAAAATGATTCCAAAGATTTCTTTTTTGTTTTGTTTGTCTCTCCATGACATCATTTTTGTCTTGCGTAATTCAGGTTTTCACGAGTACGTGGCAGATCGTGTTTGAATTATTTTTTTCTTCTTTTCTTCAAAACAATACTCCCTTTGTTCAGAATTATTTGATGTTTAAAGTTTTTGCACACAGTTTAAGGATTCATTTAATTTTTATTTTTTCTATACTAAAAATATTATTTATAATTCATTTAAATATCATTCAGCCAATAATAAGACAATCTGCAAAATATAAAAGGTCAAAAACTATAAAAATTCATTAAATTTTGTATTGAAAAGTGAGAACATCAAATAATTCTGAACAAAAAAACCTTCTAAAACATCAAATAATTCTGAACAAAGGGAGTAATAGTTTTGCCAACAGTTATTTATTTATATATTTACTACTCAAATTCTACTACACTCAGTGAAAAATGTGCAAGATTCGCAAACATATTTGGTCTAAACGGGTATAATAAGTATTGTCAGTATTGCTGTTCCGATAACTCTTTGTCAGAAAATAAGTAATGACTATTGACCCTTATATTATCCTAGGGATATAATTTTCAATTTTAACCCATTTCTTTATTCATAGTAATATTCTCCTTTTAGCTATTCATGTCAATGTTCTATAGTTGGATGCTTTGGATTTTTGTGAGAAAATATAACCAGAGACATTGAAACTTTAACAAGATAATAAAAATAAAAGCTTGAAAAATGAAAAGTAGTAAAAAGATATTTAAAATTCAGTGTAATTAAATTTTGGGTATTCGTGTTTTTTTGTCATTCTTAACAAATCTTTCTGAATCGTCACATCACAGACTACATAAAAAGAAAGTGTTGTTGGTTCTTCCATATCAAGATGGGCAGAGCAGCGAGATGGTTTAACGGATTATTTAGCACGAAGAAGAGCAGAGAAAGAATGAGTCGCGTTTCCGGCAATGATTCTGACAAAGGCGGTGAAGGTACCGGTTACTGCAATCTCCCGGCAGATCCTTTTCGGTTGAGAACTTTTCTGACGGGTAAAGAGAAGGATCAGAACAAGCACGCAATTGCGGTTGCAACCGCTACTGCTACAGCCGCTGAAGCAGCGGTTTCGGCGGCTAAAGCGGCTGCGACAGTGGTTAGACTGACTGGTGAAGGAAGACCGGGAGTTATCAACACGCGGGAAGAACGGTTGGCGGCGGTGAAAATTCAGAAAGTCTTCAGGGGCTCTTTGGTAATTTCACATCTTCAAATTACATTTATTTTCTCTTGAAAAAAATCTTGACACACCGGTATTGTTAAAGTTCGAATTTTTAATCAGAAACGATTGTCAATCTGATATTTTTTCCTTCAAAGATCATATTTGGAAACGGCATATTAAAGTTGGAATCTTTTTTTTCTTTCTGTTTTGATATGAATGTTAAAGCTCGAGACTCTTTTTTTTATTAGAAATAGAATCAATTGTCGATAATGTTTTTTTTTTTTTTTGGTTAGGCGAGGAAAGCGTTAAGAGGTTTGAAAGGTATAGTGAAGCTACAAGCTCTAGTGAGAGGATACTTGGTAAGGAAACGCGCTGCTGCGATGCTGCAAAAGATACAAGCTTTGATCAGAGTCCAAACCACGATGCGATCCAGACGCGTCAACCGCTGCCTCAACAAAGAGTACAAAATGGTCCAACCTCGAGATTCTTTTGTAAGAACCAATCTCATTTCCATTTGTTTCTTGTTCTTCAAGCCAAAACACAAAGACTAAAAGTGTGTTCTCTATTAATAAACAGGATAAGTTCGATGAAGCGATGTACGATGCGAGACGTCCAAAGATTGTAGAGATGGACGACAGATACAAAAGGAGATCGAAATTTAAGGAAGTGCACAATGTTGTTGCAATGTCTGAATATGGAAACGATTTTGTTTACAAAGGGAATGATTTGGAGTTGAGTTTCTTGGAGGAGAAATGGAAGTTTGCGACTGCGCATAACACACCGAGATTGTCGTCTTCGTCGCACCATCACGCAGGTAATAATCGCTACAATGTTACTAAGAGTGTTTGTGGAAACGCTTTGTGTGAGTATGGAATGAGTACTCCTGGCTACATGGAGGAAACGCAGTCGTTTAAGGCGAATTTGCGTTCGCATAGCGCACCGCGTCAACGATCTGAGAGGAAACGGTTGTCTCTAGATGACGTTATCGCGTTTAGGAGTAGCGTTAGCGACGAGAGATTGCTGCAACAGCAACTGCAACTGCAACGCTATTCTTGTTCCTATGACCCGCGCTGACTTTGATCATTGTAAATTTGCTTCTCATTTTTTTTTAAAACAACGTTCTTTTTCCATGAATTTAACAACAAATTTTCTTTTCTTCTTTTCGAATTATTTTTGTTCTTTTGTGCCATATTGCATCAACCTTGAAAGTTAGAATGACAATGGAAAATTGCAAATTTCTAAGGATTCCGGTTATAATCTCTCTATAAGACTATTTATTACATTTTCGATCAATCTTGTTCTGAACTTCTAAATTTCAGTTATTCAACAACAAGCAAACATTGAAGAAACCAGTACATATATTCCTTAACTAGTAAAATCTAGGAATGTTTATTATTCCAAAAGCTTATCAATCATTGATGATAACCTTAGAACCACAAAATTAAAGAACTATGTGATTCAAACCTTCAAACAAAAAAGTGTCATCTGATTTCTTATGAATCAAATCATTCAGCTTCAAGTACCATTTTCGCACAAATTGCCAATAATATGATCATCAGGCAGAGCGTTTTTGAGAAGACGGCATTTGTGAAAAGCTCATTGAAGAAACTCAAGAATCTGCAGTTTCCATTCTTCAGCCAAGGATCATTCTTAAAACCTCATTTCGCTAATTTACAAAGGGCTGACCACCCAACCAGTTACCGGATTCTTCCTACGAATCCGTGCTTTACCATGAGAGCCAGATTGCAACCGTTCAAGCACAGTGTAAGTAATGGAATCTGGTGTGAGTCCTTGCTGTTTCATCTTTGTGTACAGATCAACTGCTTCCGCGATTCTCCCACTCTTCTCTAGACAATCAAGCAAAATGTTGTACGTCACAATGTTAGGTTGACACCCTTTAACAAGCATCTCTTCAAACAATCTATACGCCATTTCTACTCTCTCTGTTTTCCCAAAGCATTCAATCAGAGTGCTGTATGTGACCACATCAGGGTCTAGTCCTTTTTCTTGCATTTCTTTGAATCTCACATGGGCCTCATCAACATCACCGTTCTTCCCCAGACAATTGATCAAAGAGTTGTAAGAAACAATGTCGGGTTTAAAGTCACTACTCTCAAGCTCCTCGAAGACTTTCACAGCCTCATCAACTTCTCCGACCCGACCAAAACTGGAGATAAGTATATTGTATGTGAATATATCTGGAGAAGGACCGTCTTTTTTCATTTTCTTGAAGAGATCATGTATATGAGATATTTGCTTTAGCTTCCCAAGCGCCGAGAACACGTTGTTGTACATCATAGTATCGGTAACTACACCTTTCTCATGAATCTTGCTCAACATCTCTATAGCTTCAACGGTTTTACCCGCACCGCACAAACTCTCTAGCATCGACATATAACTGTCTCTCTCTCCTTTCACAGGGAAGCTCCACATATCACAAAACAGCCGGTGAGCCTCACTTACATGCCCTAATTTGCTCAGCGTTCTAACCAAGTAAGAATATATCCCCTGAGTCATATACCTTTTAGACATCTCCACGATCCCATCTAACTTCACAAGCTGACCTTCAGCTACTAAGAGATTCAAAACCAGACTATATGTATACTCGTTGGGTCGACAACCCGTTTCCACCATTTTGGAGAAAACCTGGACAGCTTTATCAACCATTTTGCCTTTTGCAAGAACTTGCATCAGAGTATTGTAACCAACAACGTTAAGAGTAAGCCCTTCAGATATCATCTCATTGAATAGAACAACTGCTTCGCTATATTTCCCAATCCTCCCCATCGTCCTGATCATAATCGTGTAAGAATATTCATCTCCTCTACAATGCCTTTTCTTCATGTCTTCGAAAACTTGGCAAGCCTGATCAATCTGACAAAAGGCTGCACAGGATTATACATGAAACTCAACTGATAAATGAATGACCAAACACTTGCTTAGTTTGTGTGCACGAAAACAGTGAGAGCTCAAAAGAAAGTACCTTTTCATCTTTAGCCAAAGCATCAAGCAACATATTGTAAGCGAAGATGTCGAGTTTATGCCCTCCTCTTCTAATCTCGCAATACACATCGAATGCTTTTGAAGAATCACGAGATCTCAAGTAAGCTTGAAGCAGACACTTGTAGGTGAAAGAGTTCATCTTCAATTCCCATTTCTTCACCAACCTTAAGCACAATTGTAAGTCTTCTGTGTCCCCGAAGAAACCGATTAAGATATTCACGGTGGAGATGTTGCCACGGACGTTAGATTTCACCATCAGATCGAGAATCGAGCGGACACGATCGAATCTGTCAGGGAGATTTGATCTAGAGAGGATTAAGATGATGCGATTGTAGAGGAAAGGGTCACTGTGAGAGCTGGGGCAAACAGAGGGAACGAATTGGAAGAATTCGACGGCGAGGCGAGGGCAATTTAGGGATTTGAGAATCTCGGAAGCTTCGTCGGGAGTGAGGGAGAGTGAAAGGGAAGAGAGGTAATCAGAGAGGTCAGAGAAAGCATCAGAGAGATCAGAAGAAGCTCCGATGTCTCCTCCGCCGTGTTGGAGAAGGAGATTGGTTGCTCGGCAGATGAGATGGCGGCGAGGAAGAGGGTAGCCGCGTACGTCGGCGGGGAGAGGAGTAGGAAGGGAAATTTCGGCGGAGAGAGAGCGGCCGGAGGGAGATGATGATGTAACCTTGGCGACATACTTGGTGGCGTAACTCCGACAGTTGGTTACGGTGATCGTATCGACGTAGTTGAGGAAGCGGCGGCGGCGAAGAAGCCTCATTTTTGCGGCGGAGAAGGAAACGAGCTCTCTTGAGCAGAACTTACAGGTACAGCCTCGACGTAGACGAAAGTTTTTTAATGGGCTCAAATTGACACAAATGGGCCGAAATTTGACTTCAGTCCATCTATTATAGTAAATCCGAAGTGATTTGAGCTGTGGTTCAATGCTCAGCTTTTGATGTCATTTTAATTAATAAAATCCTTATGTTCTGATTGGTCAACTAATGTTATATTTTGATTGGTTGATATAAATTAATTATTATTATTTTTTCTATTGTTTTAGTGAAAAGTGTTAAATTACACTTATGCCATTAATGAAAATACTCTATTCTGATTGGTTCAGACCTATTTTCGGATTGACAGTTTAATATATATTTAGTGGCTAATAAATTTCCAAAAAAAACATGTTAGTTATATTGGTTGGTGGTCCAACTTTCTTAACCAACATGTAACAAGTTTGAATCACTGCCTCTTTAAACAATTTTTTTCTATTTCTCTTATTTAATTAATCTGTGTTTGTAAAAAAAAATCTCGCGATTAAAAATCGGAAACTTTATATTTATTTATTTTATGTAATTATTATACATTTATAAAACATGAATATGACATACCTTAGTTTATCATTTTTCAAAAGAGAAGTTTTCCTCAACGTCAATAATCAAAAATATTTGATTAACAAAAAAATAAAATCGTATCTAAGTATTTTGGATTACATAACAATCCAATAATCAAAATAGAATATTTGATGATATCAAAAATTATAATAAAAAAAAATGTGTTAGCCCTACATCACTTTTTCTATAAATACTTTGTGTCTCCTCTCATATTAGTCACAAGTTTTTTTCTTTTTTACATTTTGATCTATGATAAACTAAGGCAGTCACCTAGTTTATTTGTATTTCAATTTCTTTGTGTTTTGTGAATTCACTGAATTGTCGAAAACGAATTTATTTATCTCGATTTGGAGCAGAAAATGCATCCTTGATGTATGAAAACATTCTTATAGTCGTTGAAAATTAGCAGTTTCATATCTTATTTCGATTGAAGGAATCAGTAAATTGAGTTCTTATTGGTCGAATATCTTTAACTCCTAGTTGAAAATAAGTCAATATAATACAACATGGAAACTAATAGATAGTAGCTATAACTAAAAATCGCATCAGATTGAATGCGAATTTGAGGAACGAAGGATGGATACTTTATTTGAGAGAAAGTCTTCGGAGAAAATTTGTCATATTTTATTTTCATGTTTTGTTATATTGTATTGTTTATATTTTTTATATCTTGGATGTATTTTGATTGATATAAATAAATAGATGTTAAAAAAAAACTAATCTATTTATCTAAGAAACTTGTTAAAAAACGGTTTCGTATAAAAGCCATGCTTTTTTTTTTTGGTTATTTTCAACCTTTGAAAATATTTTGTATATGGTTTTCTAATGCACGATCTTAAAATTGAATTCTAGTTGGAATGTTATTATGTTAATTGATATACTGTACAATACTTTTTTCTTCCATGTTTAGTTCGTTTTCAATTTAAATGTATAAAACAAAATCGTTAACCATTGGTCTTCAATCTTGAGATGACGGTGCTCAAAATATGATTGTACCACATCGAACGTTAAAAATGACATGCAGTAAGTAATAATTGTACCGCTGAAGTTGTTTTGCACGTAGTGAAAGATCATTTATTGGAATACAAATATTTCTGAAAATTTGAGAGAGAGAGAACGGAAAAAGTCCGCCTTTTTGTAACTGTAGATGGAAACAAAATCCATTGAATAAAAATAGGACCACTGTTAAAAAAAAATTAAAATTGGTTGGGTCTTCTTCTTCTCCCAAAGATCTTCTTTATTTTACAAGTCCCAAAATATTGTTGATTTTTGGCGATTGTTTGCTGCTTCAACAAAATTTGTTGCTTACAGTGTCGTAGCTCGGAACAGCCAACACTGCAGAAAAAAACAAAAGTTAAGACGCCATATCTTGTTTAATTTTTTTTTTATTACTAGAATTCATAAAAAAAATACATATTCGGTAGAAGTAAAAAGAAAAAAGTGGAAACTTGTTTACCATCTCCAAAGGAACCCATTGTCAAGGGCTTTGAAATAATCTTGCCGGTGAAATCTGCAATGTCCTTCAAGGTTAGTTGGTCTACTGTCTTCAAGAATTGCTCAACTGGTTTCCTGCAAGATTTTTTTTTAACAAAACACCGTCATGCTCAAGAAGAAAGAAACTATGAGATTGACTGAATTTCTTCTGTTTTCTTTAATAAAATCTGCGTGTACCTCTCTCCGTACGTAAGTAGCTGCCTGCCAATGTCTTCTGCTGCAATCATCTGCAGAATACAACCGTTAACATGTTAATACCATCTAATGGTTTGAATCGAGTAATCAAATTGCTTTTTACGCATAACGATTTTATTTAAGAGTAGAGGAATACCCGAGATTCCAAATTCATCAGAACTGCAGATTTTGTGGCTGCCTTGGCGCGATCAAGATGCTTCTGGTTAACTGTCCAACGTATAAACAGAAGGAAAATCTTTCAGATATATAACAAAAGATTGGTTTCAACATGTTAGATTAGAAGAGGTAGTTCAGCGAAACACGAAGAAACAAACAGCATACCTTTTCCTCCTGCTACATCTTTCAGTTCTTTAGCTGCTAACGCGATCGCATTTGCAGCGAACTCGGGACTCTGCATCAAATCAATGGAAAAATGATGATAACTGATAAAAAGGGAAAAGCTTAGTAAGCAGTATCAAGAACTCACCGAGCAACCATAGATTCCAAACAATCCGGTGTCGTTAAAGATGCTAGAGAATGCAGTGCATGACTGAACTTGCTGATATTCGTTTAGAATACGAAGATCTGTAACCAGACATAGGAACTTGTATCACTATTACTGAACACGCCTAGCAGTGTTTGAAAATGTTACATGAACTAGTTCAATAAACGTAAAAACAGAAACCTCAAAAAAAACGCAACAAAAACACGAGATTTGACTTACAGAGCCACGAGTGCATTCCTTTTCCAGGGCCTCCAGCAGAGAATGAGCCACCTCCTCCCATAAGCATCTAATAGCAATTAATTTACATTTTAGTGAATCTTCACTAGTGGAAAGAATTTTATGGAAACAGGTGAAAAATTAACACAAGCAAAAAAGTAAACATTCAAACTATAGACACCTGCAGAACAGTGGCGATGACTGCTTCTTTCTCGTTGTTCCAGCCAGGCACCTCAAAGGCAAGCGCAAAGTGTGTAGCCTGAAAATGGCAGAACAAAAGCTCAGTTAGAATTGTGACATTAAAACCACCTTCATCTCAAACACACTTGTCCAATGACTGCAAATCTCTCATGAATACCTCTCCACCAGTATGTTGGCGAAAATCTCCACCAACATATTTAGATTTTGGCTCTGGTTGGCGCGCTACATTAGGAAGGTCAGAAGTTAATGGCTCAACAACTTTTAAAAGTTCCTCGTGTTCAACTCCACTTGCTGCCAGTACCATACGTGCAGCAGTAAAATTCTCCTGGAAAAAGCCCAGATCGAGTGAGTTATAAGAAAAAAAAAGAGGGCACAAACTTAAGTAAATGATTGTAATCACAGAGATGTAGATGGTTCTCAAAAGCTGATGCGGTCTTACAGTCATAAACTCCTCCAAGAGGTCCCCATTCAATGTGTCCAAAGCAGACTCTGGTGCGTACAGAGGATTTGCCAATGGACCGGAATAACCAGCAGAATGAATAGCTTCCATGAGGAATCCCATAGGGTTTTTTGCAAGTTCAGCTATCTCCACCTTCATCTTACGTAGCTGCGGAATCGACACATTACAATTAGTCACATAAATTTTGTACCTGAGTTATCAAAATAACAACAAAGGGAAACGAGATTTACCTCTTCATTCACTTCCCAATCCAAGAAAGCAGGGTTCCTCACACTATCAATAAGAACTTCAACCATTTCAGGGACATAGGTTTTAAGAGCATCAATAGTGTAGCTCATTTGCTCCCGAGAAGCAGATGCCGATGTGTTGCCTCCAATAGCCTCTATTTCCCTCACAAGACGAAGATGGCTTCGGTTTAATGTGCTCTTGAAAGCCATCCTTTCAAGCAAATGCGTTGCTCCATGGAAGTAAGGAGCCTCATAAATAGAGCCACAATCAACATACAAACCAATGGAAGCTGCAGGATTCTGAACCAAAAAAAAAAACACCAACATAACTCTTTTTCAGGTCATTCCTCGCATTTCCATTGATTATCAGAGAAATCAAACACAAATCATAATTTTTTTACCGGAGACATCTCTGAGGCGATTTTGAAACCATTTGGAAGAGTAGTGATCTTAATCTTGCTTGGCTCGACGAGGTCAGGAAGTGGCGGAGGAAGAGAGACGCCCTGTAATGGCATGTCCAATGAAGTAATGGAACCAGAGGACGAGCCAGTCAACCAGCTCAAGAAACCTGACGGAGAAGAACTCGTCGCAACAGCACTAGAACTTGCATATCGTGCCGGTCTCAAACTTCGGCTAAGTGATCCCTATAAAACACGAATATCATGCGTTATTACAAGAAGCCGATATTTTTTTTCCCTTGTATCAATCACTCGAAATTAAAAGAAAACTCGTCTGTTTTAACGAACAATGAGTTGCATACTAAGAATTCATGATCTCCGATTGAAGCAAAGAGGTACAAAAAGATATGAATAACAAGTCATTTCTCTGAATCGAAAATCGGATGTTCTCTGATCTATACCAATAGATTGACTTCAGAAGTTACGATACAAAATCTCAAAGAGAAGAGATCATTTGTAAACCTAATAAGTGCCATCACTGCCGTTAATTAAGCGGAAACTATGAATCCAGATCTACAAATTTTCCGAGAGTGATACGAGAAATCACTAAATCGAACAAATCTTTCATCACTCGAACGTTCCGAAAGCTTATTCAGGAGAAAATAACATTAAAAACGGTACCGACCTTAAGAGCCCTGGCTCGTGAAGCTGCCGTGCGATACATGGCGACTGGGAAACCCTAAATCGGAAATGAGTAGCGAGTCGACGGAAAGAGAGGCCGAGGCTGATGAATTGAGAGGTGAGAGAGACAGAGGATAGTCGCAGTTTTTTTTTTCCCTTTGTTTTGCTTTAGTTTATTCGATCGAGCAACTACTTGCTTGCTTCATCCTCGGCCACTTTTATTGTAGGGCCGTTAAGTAGAATAATCCTGACCCAGATAAGTATAAATAAAAGTAAAAACAGCCCGAATATTATACTGGGCTTGGCCCAATATAAATACAAGATTGAAATCCTTTTCGAAATTACGCGATTTACCCGAATTGCAATACAAAACCCGAAAAATTTGGTAATATATAAACCCGAAAAAGATTTAGTCGATAAATGTTTTAAAAACCGAACCAAATCAAAAAAAAAATCGGTTAATTTCAGTAGAATTTTCGTTCGGTTCGGTTAGCCCGAATTTCCATGCCTATGAATGTACTGTGTCAGAAGATAAAAAACATAATGTTAATGTAAGAAAACACCAATAGATTTAGAGTGATGAGTAATCAAATTTGTAGTATGGACAAATTCAGAGAAACACAAATTCAAAAGCACTGATCAAACAGACATCCTTTATTAAGAACAAACAAGCAACAACACGAAACATCACACTGCAATACAAACATAACACATAGTCCATCAAGAGACCTTGAGGTGACAAATCCACAAATATGGCTCTGATATAACTTTATTCATGTTTATTCATATGGAAATCAAGAGACAAACACAACAGGCTTTCAATTGGCGATTGGCGTGACATAGACTCCGATTTGATGAACCCAATCACTAGCTTTTCCATAAAACCCAACGATTTTTTGACCTTCTTCCTTAAGTTCAACATATTCTCCACCGGTCATTCCAAATGGTGGAGATGTTCGCTCGTTAGTTATGAATACCAAACTCGTCACCAATACCTCACCACGGTTCCCTACATAGACTTTATCATAGTAGACTCCTACTGCCTTGATGTATTCACCTGGATTAAGCTCGAACTACACAAAGAAAAGAAAGTTTCAAGAATTCAAATCTCCAGAAACATAGCAATGAAGAAGACTTTGAAAACAGATAGGGATAGAGAGAAAGAGTCACCGTTTCAACTCCAAGAGGTGACTTTTTGCCATGACCATCACCGAGAACTGTCTGAGAGCCCTTTGTATACTCAATCTCCACGAACGACACACCATCATTGTTTTGTCCTACATTTATTTTTCTAACGCCGTCGAAAGGACCATCATCCCATGAAGTTCCTTCGTCACCACCAACGGCTTTTAGCTTCTTGATAGGTTTCACTGGAGTTGAGGAGATTGGAGCGAAATAAGCTCCAAGAGAATTGAGACCAGTGTCGGCGAAGCCATGAAAACCGACGATCTTCTTGTCTTTAACTTCAAGTGTAAACTCTGTACCGTCTCCAGCAAATTCGGACACAAAGTAATCAGAAGTCTTTGTGCTGGTTTTGAACTGAAGTCCCTGAATGACATTGGACGCATCGTACCAACCCTTGACTGAAACTAGATACTCATTGGGATGACTTATCTCAATCTGCAGAGAACACGAAATTTTCAGTAATCAGAAAAACGTGAAAAAAATAATAATATTACATTTATACTGACCGTTGATTCGAAACTTCTTCTTCCTTTCACACCATGGAGGGTTCCTTCCTTTGGCTGCTTGTTTTCGAGATAATCGAACTTGATTTGATCAATACCTCGACCACTACCTACAAGAAGTATCTTCGTCACACCATCGTGATCGCCTCCATCGTCCCATTGAATGCCTCCCTTGCCTCCTTGTGCGTCCACTCTTTGAGTACTGGAATCGCTGCTAGTGTCGAAGTAAGCTCCAATGGCATCAATAGCAGTGCCACCACGTCCATGGAACCCAACAAGCTTTTCTCCATTTTCACCTTTGAGATTGAAGTCATTTCCACTCGTTTTACCGAATAATGGAGAGGTGATTCCATTGGAGGTTGTGAAGTATAGTGATGTGACAAGCGTCGCATCGTAGGTGAAAATATGATCGTAGCTTCCACCAACGGCTGTGATCTTGTCTTTCGGATAATCCACCGAAAACTGTATTAACAAACGAATTAGTGGCATACCAATTGAATAAAAACAAAATTCACACACAAAAAGACTTTTGATTGATTCAATCTAACCTCTTTTAGTTCCCCGCGATTCGTCCCATGTTCACGGATTTCGACCTTTCCATCTTTAATGTATTCTATCTTGATATAGGTCACACTTAAATCATCCGCTCCCACAGTTATTTTCTTTACACCATCAAAACGACCATCGTCAAATGCGTTTCCACCTTTACCACCAAGCAGTCCCGTCTTTCCCGAGGCATCAGGTTTTGAATCGTCTTTGCCGGGTTTGGTGTCAGTGTCAACAGGTTTTGTATCGTCACCTCCTTTCGAACTGGTGTCAAAGTAAGCTCCAATGGCATTTATAGCAGCTCCACCACGGCCATGGAATCCAACAAGCTTTCCTCCATTTTCACCTTTGAGATTGAAGTCTTTTCCACTCTGCTTACCAAATAATGGAGAGGTAATTCCATTGGAGGTTGTGAAGTATAGCGATGTGATAAGCGTTGTATCGTAGGTAAAAATATGATCGTAGCTTCCACCAACAGCTGTGATATGTTCCTTTGGATAATCCACCGAAAACTGTATTTGATTTCCCATTAGAAACACATGAATTAGTACCAAACCATTTGAGTATTAACAAAATTCACAAAAAAAAAAAAATTAATTCATTCTGACCTCTTGTAGTTCCCCGCGAATAGTCCCGTGTTCAAGGGTTTGAACTTTTCCGTCCTTTACGTACTCAATCTTGATGTAAGTCACACTGTATTCATCTGCTCCAACAGTTATTTTCTTCACACCACCAAAACGACCATCATCAAATGCGTCTCCACTGTTACCACCGATCAGCCCAGTCTTTCCGGGGCCATCACCTTTTGAATCTTCTTGGCCAGGAGGTTTGGCTCCAGAGCCATCACCTTTTGAATCTTCTTTGCCGGGAGGTTTGGTCCGGAGCCATCACCTTTTGAATCCTCTTTGCCAGGAGGTTTGGTTCCGGAGCCATCACCTTTTGAATCTTCTTTGCCAGGAGGTTTGGTTCCGGAGCCATCACCTTTTGAATCCTCTTGGCCTGGAGGTTTGGTTTCGAAACCATCACCTTTTGAATCTTCTTGGCCGGGAGGTTTGATTCCGGAGCCATCACCTTTTGAATCTTCTTGGCCGGGAGGTTTGGTTTCGGGTTCATCAGGTTTTGGTCCGATGCTACCAGCGGGAGGAATGGGAGCAAAGTGAACGTCTAGGGAGTTGAGAGCATTGCCGGAGGTTCCTAGAAATCCGGCGATTTGATTACCACTGGGTGCTTCAGCGGAAAAGTAGTGTTGAGTTTTGTTTCCGTAAGGGCCATATGCCTTCTTGTTCGTCTTAAACGTTAACGCCGTTATAATGTCTCCCGAAAAAGTCGTTCTATAGTAACCAGACAATCCCGTTATGTACTCGTCCGAGCTCAGTGTGAACTGCATGTGCCAACAACAAAAAAAGATATGTAATTAACAAACCACAATTGTTTAATATAATCTTTTACAGTTAAAACACTCTTAAATACTAAAATGTTGTTAGCACTGTTGTTACTAACTCCGTCAGATTTGGTGCCGCCGTTGCCACGTCGCTGAGACTGGAGGGTGGTTCCGACGTACTCGACCTGGATGGATCTGATGACGTCATCGAACGTAAGCTGAACTCTCTTCACCTTCGTGTGCTTTCCGTCATCCCAAGACATCGTGGCCGTTAAGACGATCAGTCAAATATATCCTGAAAATTATGGATAAAAATTAAATATTTCCAAAAAAAGAAGTTTAGACTTGTATATTACCTTTTTCCACAATATATTTCCAGAAAAATAATAACAAAACGCAGTTACTCTAACATCTTTGATTGGCCACTAAGGAGTGTGATGGATCAAACTCAAATTACACGATATATAATTGTACTTATTAACATCGAATGTGTTTTTCTGTATCTTTCTAAAATGAACCGGTCTGGATCTGGTTTAATTTCAACCGATCTAAACCTTACGAAGTCAATTCGTTATTGTGTGAAAACAAAACAATCTCTTTTATTTTTTAAAAGCCATGAAAATAAAATATATTAATGTACGACTAAAAACAAAAGAAAATTATATCGTTAAATTGAAGAATGGAAATTAACAATAAAACAAAACATAATGATAATGTGTATATAGAAGAATTAAAGAAAGGAAAGGAGACAAGTGTTACCGAAAAAACACGAAAACTATTGAAAATAAAATCGGGACAATAATTGATATCAACATGCATAGCCACAAAAATGCTTTGTTCATAAATTCTTGAAGGTCTTTTATTAAATACATAAAAACTTCTTTCATAGTCTTTGTTTAATCTCTACTGTAGCTCGTTTTGATCGGATGAATAGAATAATCTAGAAACTCGAAAATGAGAGAGAGAGAGGAGAGAGATAGAGAGAGAGAGAGTGTGAGAGAGAGGTAGAGAGAGAGTACCTGAGTGAGAAGATGTGGAGGAGGAGAGTGAATGCAATAATTGGGGATGGCAAATGGTTTGATATTTATTGCCATTTCGGTGATAAGGTTAGTTAACGTTAATTTTTTTGTCACATGGCGATATTCAACATTTTTTGGTTATACAAGAAAAAAAGAAAAAAGAATATCACCGACCATAAAAAAATGGTCTAACCAAATGAAGCCTAATTTTTTTTGTATAAATGATACCCTTGCACCATGCTCTTCACATGTGTAACTACTTCAGTGGCATTTTCTGTAATTAGGAATTTTAGAAAGAAAAAGATTCTGTAATTAGGAGAACATATTATTAGAGCCGTTAACGCGGTTTAGCCCCAGTTTTTTTTTTCTCGAGTCGATCGGCTATATAAAAATTGGGTTAGAAAATTATTAAAAAATCAAATTAACTAAAAAAGAATCGTAACATTTATTTTAATTTTTACAAGATAATTCCAGTCTCCTTTTGAGTCTTTGATACACTGATACTTACATATTTGAGAGAAAAAAACATTACAGTGGCAGTAGGTGCGATTCTCGAAAACGGGTGAATTTGTTATGAACGTTAGAGAGAATGGCTTCCTAAACAAATAAAAATCCAAGTAACTTATGAATTTAGCCCAAGTTTTGTCACCTCAATCCACTATTCCTCCGCAGATGAATATACTTCTGCATAATGATAAAAAATATGATATGAAGTTTTGCTTGAGCGACTAGAAGACTGTAATAGACCACGGTAAAATGCAAATTTGTAATAAATTTATTCACACATTAATAAAGAAATTTTAAATAAATATTTGTCATCATTCCTATTTTTTCTCTTAGTTTCTTCTTGTTTCAGTTCGAAAATCCCATCTCCCACAAAGAAGGGACTATAATTTACTACAGTACTGACGCAATGTAGAAAACCGATTTTGAAGCGGTATGTCTATGTTGGCTTTTCTTCAAAGACTTAATTAGACCAAACTTCCGGTCATTCCTCAGACCAAACATCTCTCGTCAAACGAAATTTCTGGATTTTTTATCATCTTGATTATTCAATCAAACTCACTTCAACTGAAGCAATCATTACAGTCTCAAATATCGGAAATTTTACGGCATCTTGGCTGACACAGCTATATTGTTCTTTGTTTTTTAATTATCGAATCTATTATATTAAAACAGAATTAATTTTAGTGTTTGTTTACAAACACTCCTAAAATTTTTTTTTAAAATATTTTTAATATATATAAATTTAATTTTGAAAATTAGATATTAATTTAGATAACTAAAAATTTTCTTAAATATAGGTTATATCTATAGTCTATAGATATTAATTTAAATAGACTTCCTTAAATATATGTTAGATTTAATTTAACATTTGAAATTTAAATAAGATTTTCAAAATAACACATATGATTAACAAATATCTTATTATATTTTTTAATCATATTCTATCAGATTAAAATTTCACATATTAAAAATAGATAAAGATTAATATTATATAATAATTTGATGGGACAAATTAATTTTTTTTAATAATTATGGTCTTATGCTGTTTAGGTTATTAGAGAATGCAAGATATTAGGAGAAAATTATTTCAAAACTAGTAAATATTTATATTATAAAGTAATATAAACGGACGGATTTATAATTACGGTTTCATAATCATGATCTTTCTCGGATTAATAAAATGAACGAGTTAGAAATTTATTTTTATAATAACAGTCATTTTTTATTAATAAAATAACCAGACTAAAATTATTTTATGATCATAGTAGTCATAATAATACTGAAAAAAAAAAAAAAAAATTATATCTAAACATAATTTTTTTTATATCACTTATTAAAAAATTATATTTATAAAGAAACATAAATTAGATTACAAATTTTGATTAAAACAAATTTTCCGTGCGGATGCACGTGATAAAATCTAGTTTAAGTTTATTCTTAGATAGTTAGAGCTAGTAATATTGGAATAGAAATAGAAACTATTGGCAAACAAGCCAAATCTGATTGTACCAGTTTAATATTTATTAAAAAAGGGCTGCACAGAATAAACCATGCATTTGCCATTTGGTACACCAAAAAAAATGACATAACATTTCAGTCATTGAATGACGGCTACGCAGCATGCATGCTTACGTGTCAATCATGAAAAAAAAAAAGTATTTGTAGTAGATAACCTCATGATTGTTCATAATTTGCAAAATAGGAAAACGCAATATTACTCTTCTGTATACTTTTCAATATGACATTATTACCCTTAATATTTTTCTCTCACAACTTCTTCTTCTTCATACCATATTTCCGTCGTTCATCTTTCTCTTTCCTCACAAATCTTTAATTTTTTTACAATCCTTCACTCAATCTCTTACACACACTCACCAAAAACACTTTATAAGATTATCTATGTCAAAGGAATGAACACCAAAGATATGGATGTGGATAATACAAAAATAGGTGGAAGTGCAAATTTGGCTGTGAATTTTCTGGGAATTTAGATCGATTTTGATATCGGCGACAATGGTTCATATATTGGGTTTTTCTGGAGATTGAAGATGAAAGTTGATGATTCAAGATTTTATTTGTCGTGTGAAATATAAAGTTAGAGCTATATCTAAATGTTTAAATGGTATAATAACATATAAACATTTAGAGGTAACATGTAAGTTAAACAGAAAATTATTAAGTTACCATGTTAAAACAAACGTTAGAGGTACAATACATAAATTAACGTATTACAATCAAATATAACTTGTAACAAAATCATCACATCTAGGAAAATGTTAATGTTCCGACGAAAAAGAACATAAAAGTTAACTGATATCAACTATGTTATCGTGCTAAGCTAAAAGTTAGCAGTTAACCTACATATTTACATAATACAATAATTTTTAACATGCTACAATAACATGTAACTTGTTACAACTAATTTTTCTTCGTTTTTAAATATAAAAGAAAGGAAAGAGAGAGACTGAGAAATGAGGGTTATATGGTAATTAACATTCCAACCAAACACTGTAGAGATAGATTTACGTCTTGTCATTCCTATTCAGCTAATTTTGACCAAGTTTTGGTATTTATAGCAAACTGACTAAAAAAAAAGCAACTTTAATATATCAATTCAATTTTTCTTAAGTGGTGAATCGCGTGTTTATACTTTATGATTTTTTGTAAACCCTCTAAGCTAAATTAGGACACGTATTAGGCCGTCGATTTAATATGGCCTAAACTTATAGTATTGGGTAACGAATCCATCGGATTTGGGAAATCCAATACGATAGGCCATCTATTCCCGGACTCCTCGTGTCTGACAATATAGATCACACTATCAAAAACAAAAAAGTTGGAAACTAAGTGGTCAGAAGGAGAGGAAGTCATATTCTCTATGTCCTAGACCTAAACTCGGTGATCTGAAAAGATCGGAATATAAAAAAGTGTGGCTCGCACAGGTATCCGGAAAACAAAATCATCCATCTGCAGCAGTCCAATCCCAATATCGAGGGATCCGAACCAGGTATGAATAAACTACTTAACCGGGAACATTATTCAAATTTCCCTCCATTCGACAATAAGAATATGTCTTAGTTTGATTTAATTGTCCACACCTTTACATATCCACAAGATTGACATTTAATTTGTTTTCCTAACGTATGTCAAGTGACAATGACTTTTCGCAAGAGCCAGGAAAAAAAAAGAGGTTCAGTAAAGAGCCATACCGCGTCTGAACCGCCAATCTGACTCGTATACTGAGAACAAAAAGGACGCTGCCAAGAAAAGTTGATGAGGCCATCAGAAGCATGACGCCATCATAAGATTCGAACCCAGTCAAGTCGGATCATGGGTCGACCCACCCAAACCACCGTCTATAGACCGATCCGGTATACTAGTCAGAGTCCGTAACTCCTTATAAATACTTTACCCTTTTCCACGAAAAAAGAGTTCACTTTAAATACTTGTGGTTCGTAAGTACATACACTTTACTCTTTTCTGACTATATTTTTGGTCGCTTTTCTTCATTACCACTCCACGGCGGTTCCTAACCGTGGAGTATTTTTTTTTCACCCTGAAAAGCCCAATTCCACTAAAAGGCCTGAGTAAATCCTACTCTTTATGAGGATTCTCGGTCCACTTTTCTTCATAAGTTTCCGGCTCCTTTCTGCTTTTTAATTGGCAATTAAGTGAAATTTTCGAGCTATTTTCTGATTTGAGCATCGCAGAGTTTTCGAAAAACACACTCTATCGTGTTTTCTGAATCTTCACGTTTTCTCCGATTTGTAGGAGACTTGCCCCTACTCGAAAACCGAAAATCCTCTAAACAGTATACATATTATACAAGTATTCAATTTGTTTCTTTTTCATTTCATTTATAGCATACGTATTCTATATTTATTTTATATATTATATATTGTTAGGTAAATTAATTTTAAAGGTTGTGAGAACTTTTTAAAAAAATTGTAATAGTTTTCTTTTATCCACTTTATTTATTTTAAAGTTATACAAATCCTAAAACTACTTCACAAAAAGCATCACAGTCCATTTCTTTCATTTTCCTTTATGATGGACACATTTTTCTAAAAACAAAAAAGTATGGCTTTAACTTTTTTACGTTCACAACAATTACTTTATCGTCATACAGTTTAAAGCCACAATCCTAATTATTAAGCAAACATCCTCCTTGATCTTGTTCGTGCGACTCATTCAAAGTTCCAACATATTGTGGTAAGAAGATAAAAATGTAGCAAATACTTACTAGCTAAGACAAAAACCTTTTGTAGTCGTAACAAGATTCAGAGAGAAACACAATCAAAATAGATCGAACAGACATCATTTATTAAAAACAACAAGCGACAACACAAACATCAAGTTGAAACACAAACATAACTCATAGTCCATCAAGAGACCTTGAGGTGACAAATCTACAAGTCTGTCTCTGATATAACTTTATTCATATGGAAATCAAGAAACAAACACAACAAACTTTCAATTGGTGATCATTTGGTGATTGGAGCGAAATAAGCTCCAAGAGAATAGAGACCAGAGTCGGCAAAGCCATGAAAACCGACGATCTTCTTGTCTTTAACTTCAAGTGTAAACTCTGTACCTTCTCCAGCAAATCCAGACACAAAGTAATCGGAAGTCTTTGTGCTGGTTTGGAATTGAAGTCCTTGAATGACATTGGATGAATCGTACCAACCCTTGACGGCAACCAGATACTCATTGGGATGACTTATCTCAATCTGCAGAAAACACGAAAATTTACGAGATGGAAATTTTAAGTAATCTCAAATCAACATTTTGACAGAAAATGTTCTTTGAGCTAAAAAAAAAATATATATATATATATATATATACTGACCGTTGATTCGAAACTTCTTCTTCCTTTCACACCATGGAGGGTTCCTTCCTTTGGCTGCTTGTTTTCGAGATAATCGAACTTGATTTGATCAATACCTCGACCACTACCTACAAGAAGTATCTTCGTCACACCATCGTGATCGCCTCCATCGTCCCATTGAATGCCTCCCTTGCCTCCTTGTGCGTCCACTCTTTGAGTACTGGAATCGCTGCTAGTGTCGAAGTAAGCTCCAATGGCATCAATAGCAGTGCCACCACGTCCATGGAACCCAACAAGCTTTTCTCCATTTTCACCTTTGAGATTGAAGTCATTTCCACTCGTTTTACCGAATAATGGAGAGGTGATTCCATTGGAGGTTGTGAAGTATAGTGATGTGACAAGCGTCGCATCGTAGGTGAAAATATGATCGTAGCTTCCACCAACGGCTGTGATCTTGTCTTTCGGATAATCCACCGAAAACTGTATTAACAAACGAATTAGTGGCATACCAATTGAATAAAAACAAAATTCACACACAAAAAGACTTTTGATTGATTCAATCTAACCTCTTTTAGTTCCCCGCGATTCGTCCCATGTTCACGGATTTCGACCTTTCCATCTTTAATGTATTCTATCTTGATATAGGTCACACTTAAATCATCCGCTCCCACAGTTATTTTCTTTACACCATCAAAACGACCATCGTCAAATGCGTTTCCACCTTTACCACCAAGCAGTCCCGTCTTTCCCGAGGCATCAGGTTTTGAATCGTCTTTGCCGGGTTTGGTGTCAGTGTCAACAGGTTTTGTATCGTTGCTGCCGGAGCTCTCTCCTTCACCTCCTTTTGAACCGGTGTCGAAGTAAGCCCCAATGGCATCAATAGCAGTGCCACCACGTCCATGGAATCCAACAAGCTTTCCTCCATTTTCACTTTTGAGATTGAACTCTTTTCCACTATTTTTACCGAATAATGGAGAGGTAAATCCATTGGAGGTTGTGAAGTAGAGGGATGTCACAAGCGTTGTATCGTAGGTAAAGATATGATCGTAGCTTCCACCAACGGCTGTAATGTGTTCTTTTGGATAATCCACAGTAAACTGTATTTCATTTTCCATTATAAACAAACGAATTAGTAGCAAACCAATTGAATATTAACAAAATTCACAAAAGACCCTTTATTTATTTTCACCTCTTCTAGTTCCGCGCTAGCCGTCCCGTGTTCACGAGTTTCCAATTTTCCGTCATTTGCATATTCGATCTTGATATAAGTTATACCATACATGTCTTTCCCCACAGTTATTTTCTTCACACCATCGAAAACACCATCGTCGAATGTATTTCCCTTAATACCACCAATCGGTCCCATCTTTTTGGACAACTTTTGGGATCCACTAGAGTGTGTCTCGAAGAAAGCCCCAATGGAATCAATAGCATAACCACCACGTCCATGGAATCCAAGAAGCTTTCCACCATTTTCACCTTTGAGATTGAATTCTTCTCCACTCATCTCACCAAATAATGGAGAGGTAAAGCCATTGGAGGTTGTGAAGTATAGTGATGTGATAAGCGTTGTATCATAGTTGAAAATATGATTGTAGCTTCCACCTACAGCTGTGATATGTTCTTTCACCGTAAACTGTATTTCATTTTCCATTATAAGCAAATGAATTAAGAGCTAACCTACTAAATAAGAACAATTTTTTAGAAAAAAATTATATATTTTGACCTCTTTTAGCTCCCCGCGATTCGTCCCGTGTTCACGAATTTCGACTTTTCCATCCTTTTCATATTCGATCTTGATGTAAGTTATACTGTACTCGTCTTTCCCGACAGTTATTTTCTTGACACCATTGAAGACACCATCGTCAAATGTGGTTCCCTTGTTACCACCGATTGGTCCCATCTTTATGGTAACAGGAGCTCGAGCTGGAGCTGGAGCAGGAGCTGGAGCTGGAGCTGGAGCTGGAGTTGGAGCTGGAGTTGGAGCTGGAGCTGGAGCTGGAGCAGGAGCAGGAGTTGGAGTTGGAGCTGGAGCTGGAGCTGGAGCAGGAGCAGGAGCAGGAGCAGGAGTTGGAGTTGGAGTTGGAGCTGGAGCTGGAGCTGGAAGAGGGCCAAAATGTGCACCAAGAGCATCAATTGCATCACCGGATCGACCACAGAAGCCAACAAGCTTGAAACCTTGTTCCTCGAACACAAATTTCCGACCAACCACATTTCCAAAAGCAGGGGAGGTTCTTCCTTTTGATGTCTTAAACCTAAGCGATGTAAGATAGCCATCGATGGTTCCCTCCACTAATGTAATATGTTCATTAGGATAATCCACCACAAACTGCAACCAAAGTTATTTTAATTTTTTTTTATTTCTTTTTCAAAATATATCTGAAAACACGAAACTACACATAGATAATAAATATATCGATAAATACCTCTTGTGGAGCCTCTTGTCTTTTCCCATGAGCATGTGGTACCATTCTTTCACCTTTTGCATACTCAAACCTAACATAACTCACAAACTTACCACCTCTTCCAACGAGTATTTTTCTAATACCATCGTAAGCACCATCGTCCCAAGCACTCCCCCCACTCCCACCTTGACGGTTAAAGTGCTTAAGGGGAGAATTAACAGCGAAGAAGTAGGGTCCAATGGCATCAAGAGCTTGACCTGAGCGTCCATGGAATCCAAGAAGCTTTCCTCCATTTTCACTCTCGAGCATGAATTCTCTCCCACCTGAATCTCCAAATCTCGGAGAGGTTCTTCTGTAGGAGGTTTTGAAGAATAGCGATTTGATGAGCACTGCTTCATAGTATCTAACATGACCGTAGCTTCCACCAACAGATGTGATATATTCATTCGGATATTCCACCGCAAACTGAAATTCATTTTCCATAAGAAACAAACAAACTATCAGCTTTTTAAGGGTTTGATACGAACCGATTGAAGAGTAACAAAGTCACAATAATTTTATTACCTCATTTAGTTGCCCACGAATAGTCCCATGCTCACGGGTTTCAATTTTTCCGTCCTTTTCATATTCGATCTTGATATATGAGACACATCCAAGATCTCTTCCGACTATTATTTTCTTCACACCGTCAAAAACACCATCGTCGAATGCTCCTCCCATGTTACCACCCATTGCTCCCATCTTTTGGGACATCATTTCCTTCTCTTAACTTTACACAGAAAATCTGAAAATTAATTCAAAAAGCAACAAAAAAGTAGTTTGTTATTTCAAATTCCACATAAGTTCACATGTAAAGAAAAACAGAGGAAGAAGAAGAAACACAAAACTCTGTTTTTCTTCTTATCATCACAGGAAAACTTGAATACCATTACTAGCTATTTTTTCTATCGAATTATTGTTTCTCAGGCTCCACTAATGGAAAATACTTTTACAAGACACAATGTCAATCAGTCTCCTTTGACTCTTTGACATAATTATACGTATAAAAAGCTCTGGATTTTAGCAAGTATACGAGAACCGTTATAAATACTGAGAATTTTAGGACGTATCACGTATCTAAAGACGGTTTGACTAAAACCTCTAATATCCTTCAATTTTCGTTATTTTGCAATTACAATAAATATTTTTACAGTTGAACATCATACAAAAAACCCGAGTAGTGTCTTTGTATATATTGATAAGAACGTATAATTCATGACTGCAAGTATTTATCAAAAAATAAAATAATTCACAACAACAATTGATGAATGGCCGATTATCAAATAGAAAACAGTTGATGCATGGCAAAACCGTATGATCCTATAACAAGGACGAAATTATATTTTATTATGATAATGTGAATAGAGAATGTTGACAGCTAAAAATGTGAATATAGAATCGTGGAGAAAAAGGAGGCAAAGATAGAGAGAGACCTTCAGGTTGGAGAAGAGCTGTGAGTGATCGAGAATGATATTGGATATGGGGTAGTGCCATAGTCCCTATATATTGACACTCGCTTTGTAGTGTTTTAGTTTTTTTACACTCCGTAATAAAGTTTACTCTCTGTCGTTTTTGAAATTTATCACATGAATATAAAACTTAAATTGTTATACAAATGCTAATAATTGGTGTGAAATTGAAAAGCTCACTAATACAAATCCTTTATATAAATTATATTCTCAGGATGATAAGAGTAGGTAAAGACCAAATAGATACCTTGAATTCTGATAAAATTTTAAGCCTACATATACCTGCTTTTTTAATTCATCCTATCAGGTTTAGAGTATCTACCGGATACATACTATAACATTTCTGCGTTTTTTCCCTGGATTTATTATATTTGTGTACAATGTTGTTTTCTTAGGTTTTATCACTTAATTAGCGGATGGTTCCATGTTTTTTTTTTTGTTTCAATCTTCCAAGTAATTAGTTTAAAGTTTTTTTTGTTGCACTCCCTATGTAAAGTTTAGTACTCTCAGTCATTTTTGATTGATCACATGTATTTAAAAACTTTACTGTTTCTTACAAATTTTAATAATTAATGCTCTACATTCTTTCTGACAATGACGGTAGTTGCGATTCTCGAACGGAAACGTGGGAGAAATGCTTCCCACGTGGTGTAAAAAACCAATAAAAATCCAAGTAACCGTCCGATAACATGACAAAAATGATACTCGTAAAATGGTGGACCCTAAATAGTTCACATGTCTTGGCAGCTAATAAGAAATGTTGTATCAGATGGCTAATGAATGAATAATGGCACAGATGGGACCCAACTAGAAAGTGATGTCCATTTTCTTTTGCATGTCACTTTATTGGCAACTCCATCTTTCATCTTGAAAATGACCTATTATTCTCTCCTTTTCGTACCGTGAAATTATTGATTTGCATTTTCTTTTTCAGAATTTATTTTTCTTCGTTATCACTGAAGATTTTTTAGTTATATGATTCATTTTGTAATTAGTTTTTTTCTAAGCCGTTGATTTTTGTTTCAATAAAGCATTTGGAAAGAACATAAAGTTTTATTTAAATTTAGAAAAATTATCATTTATTCTATTCAATAATTTCTAAATTTTCACACAAATGATACTTGTAAAATGGTGGACCCCAATTATTTCAGATCTCCTTGACAAATAATAAGAATTGTTGTATAAGATGACTAGGATCCAACTAAAAAATGGTATCCCTTTTTACATGTCAATTTTTATCACTCCATTTACTTTTCTTATCGTGAAATTATTGATTTGGATTTTTAGGGATCTTGAGTATTAACTATTAGCGATACGCCGATATCTAATATCTATCATAAGATATCAAAATTAAATATGTATATATCAATAATAGTTTAAAATTACTTTGATTAGAAAGAAAAATATATTTGTTTCTATTTTGCTCCTCTTTTACCATCACTATTATTGTTATTGTTCATAGATTGTTCATCAAACTCTACCAATACTATTCATTCAAAAATCAATGTTACTATTCATCACCAGAAAACATACTATTCATCACCAAAAAACATAACATTTTATATCTGTTAATGTTTTATTTTGTAACTAAATATTTGATATTTGTTACTATATTAAAAATAATATATGATAGTTGTTAGCGTGCTAACAGTAAAAAAAAATATTATTATTAACATGTTACAAATATTATTTTTAATACATTAATATATACTATGTTAACACGTTACTAGTATTAAATATTATTGCTAATATGCTAATAAGTATTAGATCATGTTAGTTATCATAATAACAAGTATCATATATTATGGTTAACACGTTAACAGAATTTATAAACTATGTTTTTTGGTAATGAAGAATATAATTTTTAACTTTTAAGTGATCAATATCGATAAAAATTTATGTATAATGTAGCAGCATTTTATGTAACTTATTATATTTACTTAAAACACGTTTTTTTGTTCTGAGAAAAGTAAGACTTTATGCATTGTTATTACTAAAACGTTTTTAGTTATAGGGTTTTTCTAATTATAATTTTCCTAAGCCGGTTATTTTTGTTTGAATAAGGTATTAAGAAAGAACATCCGACCAAAAAAAGATATTAAGAAAGAACATAAAGTTTAAATTAAATATGAATAATTATCATTTATTCTATTTAAATAATTTATCAATTTCACAAAATCATTAGCAGTTATTAATATTTTTAAGTTTATAATTATTTATAATGAAATTAGTCAAAATTAACGTGTTTGTTTTTGGTCAAATTTGTAACGTGTTTATAAGTGAGGAGAATTAAAGCGACTGTGGTCTAGTATTATAAGCTCATCAAAAATCGACATTATGTTATCTAAGATCTGCTAAATAATTTGCTAAGCGGTAGATGGGTAGACGGGCTCTGACTAGCATTTAAACCAAAAATCAATGATTAATCACTGATTAGTTGATGATTAGTTTTAATTAATCTATATTATATTTAATTTTTAATTACTCATATTAGTTTTTTTTAAATTTAATAATTTTTTTTCTGCAGATTAAATTTGTTAAAACATATATACATTGAAATATAAGTATCATTGAACTTTTAGACATATTTTTGGGCCAATTTTAAGGTTTTAGTTTACTAAAACAAAAAATATTGGACTAATATAAAAATATTAAAAGTTTTGGATTGATTTTTTAGGTTAATACTGTGGGTTTAAAAAAAAAAGTAAATTTTTTTTTTAAGAAATCACCAAATTTTTAAAAAATCGAATTTAAGTAGTTGAAAATCGGTTGACCGCCTAAACTCTCTGCCTAAAAACAAATCAGGGCAGCTACCCTCTCTTTTAGCACCTAAGACCATCTCCAATGGTTGCTTCTATTTTTTCCTCTAAAATAAAGGTGCATTTGTCTCCAATGGTTACCTCTATTTTTCCCTTTAAAAAAGAATATTCTCAATATATTCTTTTTGTTATTTGTTCTTAACACCTTTTGTTAATAAAATTTATGAATTTACCCTACTTATTGTTTTTTACAAAAACTTACATAAATTATAATAATACTAACTTTGATAAATAAAATTTGTGATTTAATCTGTTATTTTACTTTTTATAAAAATTTTCATAAATTATAGTAATACTAATCTTTGACTAAATTTTTAAATTAATCCCATTTATGTTACTTTTTATGAAAGTTTCAACATATTATAATAATACTAGAAGTAAAAATTCATAAACTAAAAAAGACATTACATCATAAAAAGAAACATAATAGTTTAATCATCTTTACTGATGTGTTTTTCCCATAAATGATCGACTAATTCATTCCGAAGTAAAAAATAAGCTTTTTAATCTTTGATTTTCCTAAACGGACCTAGAAACTCTTAGAATCAGATATTATTATCCTCTGCTATTTGGATTTTACAGAAGCGAAGTGATGAACAACAGCAACAAGATCAACACGCTCCTCCTTCATCTACTTTGTTTTGACAATATTTTAATTTTGGTGGATCCGGGAGCCAATTAGGAGATTATTAAATTATTGTTATTTTTTGTTTATTTTTTGTTTATTTTTATGTAATTTTAATTTGCAATTACTTTTTGTAGTTTAATTTCAAATGAGAATTTTTATATTTAATAATATCATATGTTTTAAAATTTTTTTTTAAACTATAACCAAAATTATCACATTTATATTCATAAAAAATTATACCTTTTGCATAAATAGAAATATTTAAAAGTTAAAGGACTACTTTATAAATAAAAAAGTTCACCTCTATTATAGAGGGAAAAAATAGAGTCCTTCTATATTTGGAGGAAAAAATAGCAATCTTTGTTTTAGAGGTGAAAATAGAAGTGGGTTAGAGTATAATCTCTAAAGGTGAGTTAGAGATGCCCTAAGCGGCCGATTTTTAGAACATCGTCTAAGATCGAGTCCTTTCATTTATTATAAGAATTACTAGACCGATCCATTGTGACTGAAAAAACTAGAAATAAAAATGAAAAAAGTCAGTAGAAAAGCAACACGTGAAGTGAATAGAATATATAGCTCCCACTGAGCTTATAATAATTTTTTTAAAAAATAGCTCCCACTGGAAGCCTATTCTGCATGTACACATATACGTCAGTATTTTGCAGGTACATACACGTTCTTTTCTTTATATGGGACGTAAGTTTTTCATGAGACTTGAGATAACCGCTTTCCACACATCTTATGTAGGAGCAAATCATAGTTTGGGATAGAGTTGGGAAAAACAGCTAGATTTACTTTAATCCGTTATTTTTTTTTTTAATTTGATCTGAATAATAGAACATTTGTAATTTTACGTTTGTCTATTTATATAGAATGTCCTTGTCCAATTATGGTCACCAGACCAAAATTAGGAATGGAAATTTCATTGTGTTCTTGGGGCAATAGTACGATTGGCTGTTGACTATTTACGCCCAATAACAGCTTATAAGTTAGAAGCAATATCCAATAGTTTAGAAGGAGATAGACGGTATTGGCCTTATTTTAGTGGATGTATTTGGGCTCTTAATGGGATACATATATCTGTTATGATGATTCCAGGTCAAGATACATTACGGTTTGTGAACCGAAAAGGAACAGCAAATCTTAATGTCCTTGGAATGTGTGATCTTTTTTTTTGACATCCTTGGAATGTGTGATCACGATATGCTTTTTACGTATTGTTTTGTTGGAATGGCTGGATCAACACATGACTCACGAGTGCTGGAAACAGCTATACGAGATGATCCAATGTTTCCTAAACCTCTTGAAAGAAAATACTCCATATAGATGTTGATATTTAGCTCCATATCGGAAAGACAAATTAAAAAGATGATACTCGATATCATCTTCAAAAGTTTATAAATAAGGAGTTTCCAAAAAATAATAAGGAAATGTTCAATAGTTGGCATGCATCATTAGTTCAGTTATTGAACGCACTTTTGGTGTATGCAAGGAAAAGTGGAGGGTTATTAGAGAATTTCCAATGTATAATATTTCGACGTAAAGAAATGTTATATTTGCAACAATGGGATTTTACAATTTTATTCGGTGAAACAAAATTAAAGATCTTGATTTCGAAGAAGCAGAAATAAGCGATAATATACATCAAAATGAGAACAATCTTTCAGATGATGAAGATGATGGACGAATAAATGAAGAAACATCAACAGAGGTTTATATGAAAATGGTTCGAGATCATATTGCCCAAAAATTGTGGTCCGACAAAAGACTTGCTTCTCGTCGTTGTCGGTTATAGGTTTGTCTACTTTTACTTTAACATACACGTTATTTGATATATTAAGAGGTCAATTCTCTAAAAAGAAAACTTTTAATGCTAAGTTATTAGTTGGATACTATTTTATAGATCAATAATGCAGATTTTTATGTTGTAGTTATTAAACACATTGTGAATGGAATGGAGACGCTAAAGTTGTAGACAATCGACTCTATCAAGAAAAACTTTTTTTCTTTTAAGTTATTAATTGTTGAATATTTATTGTTTTAAGATATTCATTCATGTTTCTGGTTACCATTTATTGTGACAATTTTCATTCATTTTCTTTATTTATTTTATTTATTTTTTTCCAAATGATTCTTTTTATTTTTTATTTCTTTATCATTCCTCTTATTCCTGATATTGTCACCGGACCTCAAATTAAACATCTTATTTTCTATATCAATAGTAAAGAAACCAAATGCTTGATTTCCACGCTTATCTTATTTAAGAACTCAGTTCTACATTTATTGATTCGATCAATAAAAAAAAACACACAGAAAATGAAGAGAAACCAAGCAAGAATCTCAGCTCTCAACTCTTTAGGTCTCAGACACCAGATCCTTCCCATGATGCAACAAACTACAACTTTTAAAGCTCACAATATTACCAACACCGAGCGGTCTTAAGCAGAGTCTACGCCATAGAAAAAGATGTCATCATAACGACCGTTGGTCGGAGACTTCCCTCCATACATCAACAACCCTTTTTTCCCATCAATGGACGCAGTCGTGGACGCGCACCATCCACGCGGGCTATGACCTTCCTCAAGCTTCTGCCACATCAAACTCTCTGTGTCCAACACGAAAGCTCCTCCGGTCAATTTCCCCGGACCCAAGTGAGCCTTTGGGTCCATCTCAATCTCACCTCCAGATATAATTATATATTTCCCTAGAACAGCCATCGAAAACACGCTTCTCCCCCACGGCTTTTCACCGCTTGTTTCCACTTTAGTCCACTTACTTTCAGCCGGATCAAAGCAATGAACATCATCCATTTCGTCCCCGCAAAACCCATACACAACCCAAATCTTCCCTTGCACAACCGCTAGCCCTGATCCACCTCTCGCTTTGCAAGACTCTCCTGGATTCGGAAGCTCAATCCACTTTTCATCAACGATGTTGTAAGCATGGAGTGTGTTGACACGTACCGTAGTACTCACTCCACCAAAGACATAAACGTTTTTGTCATCAGCAGCCATTGCGTGGAAGCTACGCGGTGCAGGTCCTTTATTGACGTGAGTTATGAGTTTCCACTCGCTTTTAACTGTGTCGTAAGAGTAGAAACCATTGTAATTACGGTGGCCATCGCGCCCACCGAAGACGTAGAGTGTAGTGCCGATGGCCACCATGCAAACGCCTAAGCAAGGAGTTCAGGAACGTCGCCGTTTGGAGGAGCAAGCGACCATGTGTGTGTCTTGAAATCGAAGACGTAGAGGTGTTGATCAATGTGGAAATTTGGCGTTAACTCTCCTCCAAAAGAGTACATTTTGTCTCCAACCATTGCTATAGCGTGCGAGCATCTTGGTCCAGGACCCTTGCCTTTTTGCTCCACCTAAAAATAATAGTCACCACATGTTTCATAACACAATATCATCACGGTCACACATAAACAATATTAATCTTGTTTACTTGGTGTATTACTACGCAATCTGTCTCTAAGAATATTCAAACCGAACCAAAATCATTTCCAAATTTTTGAACCAAAATCAAATTGAAAATTTGTTACTTTTAAAAGTAAAAAATAAGAAACTTCGATATAATACAACATTTTGAAATTATTACTACTATTTATATTTGTTGTCCAAAATAATATATATATATATATATATATGTTTACCAAACCAAATAAAATATGAAATCTTCTGATAAACAAAAACTGAATATGTGGGACCAAACCGACTCGTGTAACCGCATGTTAGAACATCTTTAGCGATAGTTTTGAGTGTGTATCGTATTCACAAAATTAAAATAAAATAAAAAAAGTAGGAACTAGGAAAGAGAGAGAGAATATTTGAGAAACTTTCGGAAACTCAAGAGAAACTATTAAAATATCTGTCTCTTTTTGAATAATTGATTTTTTTATTTGTGGGAGACTATAATAATACATGTCCTTTTTTAAATGGTTGAATTCTTTATTAATTATGTTAAAATACTAATATAAGATTACTAGAAACACTTTTAAAAAAACTCAACCAATATATAATGATGCTCTTAAGCCCTAATTCGTACGTACCTGGATCCAATTGCCACGCAGCATCTTGGGAGAAGCCGAATGAGAAATATAAGCTCCGATAGAATGAAGAACGTCGCTCGAACTGCCATGGAATCCAGTGATTTTGCCGCCTTCGAGCAAGAACATATCCCCCGAGGGCATTCCAAAAGGCTGAGAGGTTATGCCCTTGAATGTCTTGAATATAAGAGTCGTTATAATTTCTGTCTCCGAGCCAAAGAGTTTCTCGTAGTAACCTTTCATAGATGTGATGTAATCGTCTTGATCAACCTCGAATTCCTCTGTTCCTAACAATGTCTTTTTTCCGTGCTCGTGTGCCTCTCTTTTGCCATCTTTTTCGTATTCGAACTTGATATACGCTACACCCGAATCTCCTTGACCAACAGAAACTTTTCTTACATGATCAAAAGTACCATCGTCGAATTTTTCTCGGCCATTTCCTCCTTGAGCTTCTAACTTTTTTAGAGGAGGACTCGAGGACGAGGAAGACGAAGAGGAGGAAGAGATGGGAGTGAAGTAAGTTCCAAGAGAATTGAGATGAGAATCAACTAATCCATGAAAACCGATGATCTTCTTGTCCTTGACTTGAAGTGAAAATTGTGTTCCATCTCCATCAAATTCATATCCAAATATATCAGAAATGTTTCTGTTAGTTTTGAACTGGATTCCTTGAATGACATTGGAAGAGTCGAACCACCCCTCTACAGAAATAAGGTACTCATCGGGATGACTGATCACAATCTGGGAAAATCGAAGATCAAAATGTCACTAGCCTCCAATAAACATTCTTATTGTACTTAGATGCAAAGTAATAATAATCTAAAAATATCCTACAAGTAGCGTTGTCGAATAAAAGAAAGAAATCAGCACGCACCGTTGAAGTGAAACCTCTAGCTTTCACACCATGTAAAGATCCTTCCTTTATCTTTCCGTTCTTAACATAATCGAACTTGATGTTCTCAATCCCTCGACCACCAGGTGCAACGTATATCTTGGCCACACCGTCATGATCTGCTCCATCGTCGAATGTCTTTCCCTTGATACCACCAATTGGTCCCATCTTTTCGGACATTGTTTTTCTTTTCTAACTTCTGAGAAAACCTGCAATATTGAATCTCTTTAAAAAAAATACACAAATTGACAAGAAACAACAAATAACAAACAGAATGTGGTGTCTTGGTTAAGAAAGGAAGAAGAAGTAAGATCAACTATGTTTTCTACTTATTACAAATGTCATAGGAGACGTTAGTACCTAGATAATAACGTTTTTTTCTATCGAATAATTATTTCGCAGGCTCCATTATGGGGAATACTTTTTTCTTTGTCAACTATGAGTAGTATTTTTGTTTTGTGTGAACACATTGGAAAATACGTTTACACGACAATTTCAATCAGTCTCCTTTTGAGTCTTTGACATAAAACTTAAAGTGAGGAAATCACTAGATAAAAACAAAAAAAACTGGCTTCGAGCAAAGTATACGAGAAATATATACCAATTACATAGAAACATTAACAATCCGAAACTTATAGGGCATATTTAAAAATAATAACTTTTTATTCTTCAGTCTGTAAAATCTGAAAAGTTAGTCCATATCTTCCAGGTCTGGGAGGACACTGACATTTTTAATATGCTTTCCCCTATCTTTGTAACTAAAACGAATCTTTGCTGAATAGAAGTAATAGTATACAGAAACACCCTAGTAATATATTGTTTTTTTTCCTACATGAAGCATCTTTCTTATTTCATTCATAAGAACAATCTTACACAGATGATTTACCTTTAACAAATAAGCTGAATAACGCAGTAGTATACTTGTAATGATAATAAGTTAATAACGTAATAACAAATGTTAACAAGTATAAAACAAATCATACATGGAAAAAGCATGTCTAATAATTTCGAGAGAGAGAGAGAGAGAGAGAACGACCTTCAGGTTGGAGAAGAGCTGTGAGTGATCGAGAATGATATTGGATATGGGGTAGTGCTATATACCCTATATATAGACAGTCGTTTTGTAGTGTTTTAGCTTTTCACACTATATAAAGTTTAATTGGGTTTTACAAATTTTAATAATTAATGAGAAATTGAAAAGCTCACCCATATAAATCGTTTATATTCTCGTGACAATGCGATTCTCGAAACGGTTGCATTGTAAATTTGTAATAACTAAACGTGAGAGAAATGCTTCCCACGTGATTTACCAAACAAATAAAAATCCAAGTACCCCTAAATTAGTGAAACAAAAAAATGACTAAAATCATACACTTATAAACTGGTGGGCTCCTAACAGTTTTCATGTCCTTGATAACTAATAATTAAAACAATGTAGAATAAGATGAACGGCTATGCAGCGTCAAGGCAGGACCACGGTTACGGTTATTCTTAACGTGAAAAGGCTGACTCCTATGTCCCATGAATAGGGAAATCCTTGGCGTATTTCATTATCGTGCAATAATTGAAGTTTCTTTCTTCCGAGTACAAAACATTGCGTACACTGGTTTAACCTACTAGAAACTAGAAAGTCTTCTTGGTCTTTTCACTCCGGTTAATCTCTCAATCGAATAGGATGTGTGGAATTAACGAAATCTCACAATCGCTCACGAAGGATCAAGCAGAAACGTAAATTACACTAAACTTTGTCCAGTTCAGACGCAAATTGCGACCCTATATCTAACTGAAGACTCCTCAGAATCCAATCATAGGTTTTGAGATTGACGTCTAAATCAAAAAAAAAAAAAAAAAAGAGATTGACGTCTAAATCATTTGTATTGTAAGACGTGGTCTCACCGGGTACATCAATCGCCATGAAAAGGTCCAGAAGCTGTTTACTTGCATTTTATGAGGCTATTAGGTCAAAATTACAGGCTTACTTATTTTCATGTTGGTTATTTGAAAAATTGTGAACGTTTGAATCTTTTTTTGTCTTCCTTGTATTGTGTATCTTTAGGGTTTGAAGTACTTCAATTCTTCAACATATTCCACCGGAAGTAAAGCGCCAATAATTATCTTCCGTTATAGTTTGGTGGCTATTATACAACTACTCACGGTTCTGTTCTTTCAACTTTCAGAATTTACCTTTATTATCCAAGGAAGTAACTCCATTGCTACAAGATGAGATTTATGGTCTGTAAGGTAGTATTTACATTTAATATTTTTTTTTTTAAAAAAATTCTCTACGGAAAGGTTTTACTTTGGTGATATTATCTTAGTCAGTTCTTTTTTTTTTGGTAAAAAATTATCTTAGTAAGTTACGACTTCGCTACGTGTCTAACGAGCATGGCGATTGGCGGACACATTTTAATGTTGTCCATTGTATATGGCTTCATTATAGATGATCCGGAACCAAAACTCTGATGAAGTAAAATAGGGAGCTTTTCCCACTGCATATCATGATTCATGATGGAAGTCTTAAATGCTGGAAAAAAACACCTCACAATCAGACTTCGTAATGAGAAAGATAAAGATAAAATGTATTAGTGTACAACTTGACCATGCATGAGAAAGATATAGATAAAATGTATTACTACGTACAGCTTTGTCAGGGTACGATCGATCAGTGGGGGAGCCAGAAATTTTTTTTCCTGGTGGCAAATGAGAGTATATGTAATATTATGGGTGTGGGCATTGATATTAAACTTTAATAAATTACAGCAATTTTTAAAATTCGTTGGAGGCGAATGACCCCATCTTATTCCATTTCCCTCCGCCACTGCGACCGATCCATGACGCTCTGTCATAAACATATTTAATACATTAAAACTTCTATAAACTAATGATGCTGGGACTTTGAAAATTTATTTGTTTCTAGAGATACTGATGAATCGATATTAGTTTATATGAATACTTTTTTTTTACGGCAAACAATTTTATTGATTTCAAATAAGGATTACAAAGTCATACAGAACTTTCAGAAAATAAATTATTACATAAGCAGATATATGCGCCATATAGTGAAAAAGATACAACAAAATAAGTGATTTGATGATGCTTTCCATAGATAAGTCTTACTCGCTAACGAATCATAAAATTCGTTATTTTCCTCTTCGTATTTGATCTTAATCTGATGCGAAATGTGCGTAGCTAGCATCTCTTGGCTATACCTTTGAATTACACACCGCATGACAAAACCCAATGCTTCCGGTAATAGTTCTGGAACTTCGACAATCTGATACCAGTGAAATCGTATTAGAGTCTTCTTGACATATTTCGACTTTGATTTTCTCCTTTCTGAAATCAAACTTCTACATCTTGCCTCCAATTCTGCACAAGCGAGATCCGACAACAAAAGTTGAAAAGAAACTAATATCTCTTTTACATAAGGTTGTGCAAAAATCCCACTTTCATCTAACTTTGGTTGATGTGGTGTCATCGTCTTATGTTTTTGGTTAATGGCTACAGTTTTCTGTATCATGACCGAAATTCCGGGATCCCATATACGGCAATTTTGAGAAGATGGATTGGTTGTATCGACAACAACAATCCAACACATAAACCGATTAAACCGGAAAGAAACTCTACATGAGAGAGAGAAAACGGTTACCCATTGGAACCGACCACGCTTGAACGAAACGGGAGACAATCGCTGTGTAACATCATCAGTTACAGTGATATACCACCATAGGTGTCGCATGAAGAAACCACCATGAACGTGTAGTATAACCACTGATATCGTCAATGATCACTATCGCATTCAAGAAAAACACAACCATATAATAATTTGCTATATGTTGTAGATAACACTCCAAAATTCCGGGAACAGGCTAAGACAATAAAGGATTACAGGCCGATAGCTTGTTGTAATGTAATATATAAGCTCATTTCGAAGATTCTGGCAAATAGGCTGAAGACTATCCTTCCAAATTTTATCTTGCCGAATCAGTCGGCTTTTGTCGAAGATAGGCTCCTAGTCGAAAATTTACTCCTAGCCTCTGAACTTGTTGCTATCATAAACCCTCTATCTCCTCTAGATGTGCTCTCGAAATTGACATTTCAAAGGCGTTTGATACAGTGGAATGAGACTTTGTTTTAACGGTTTTGGAGGCAAAGGATCTTCCTTTGGATTTCCTTCATTGGATTCGACTATGTGTTTCCACTGCCTCGTTTTCAGTTCAAGTCAACGGTGAACTTGCGGGTTATTTTGGAAGTTCGAGGGGCCTTCGTCAGGGCTGTTCTTTGTCTCCATACTTGTTCGTTACCTGCATGAACATATTGTCGCTAATGCTGGATAAGGCTGCTTCTCAGAACAGATTCGGGTTCCATCCAAAATGTGCAAACATGACTCTCACTCACCTTTGCTTCGCGGATGATCTTATGGTTTTTTTCTGATGGGACTCTGCGATCAATGGAAGGCATTATTGAGGTTTTCTCAGAATTTTCACGAATGTCTGGGCTAAAAATAAGTCTCGAGAAGTCGACAGCATATTTAGCCGGAATCTCTGTTTCACAACGGGAAATTATCTCTCAAAGGTTCTCTTTTGAGCTTGGTTCTCTCCCTGTTCGTTACCTGGGTCTGCCTCTCCTGACTAAGCAGATGAGATCATTGGATTATATGTCACTTATTGATAAGATTCGCAGTAAAATGTCAACCTGGACTGCTCGAAATCTGTCTTTCGCAGGAAGGCCAGAGCTACTTGCTTCGGTGATTGGAAGTTTAACTAATTTCTGGATGGGGGCGTATAGACTTCCCAAGGGTTGAATTGACAAAATCGAGAGTATCTGCTCGGCTTTTCTGTGGTCAGAGCCGGACCTAAATCCGCAAAAAGCAAAGCTAGAATGGACGAAAGTTTGCAGGCCGAAGAAGGAAGGAGGACTAGGTCTTAAAAATCTTCAGGTTGCAAACGAGATTTGTACTTTGAAATTGCTTTGGCGAATTATCACGTCAAAGAGCTCCCTCTGGGTGAATTGGTTGCGTGCAAACTTGATGCGAGGTGGTTCAGTTTGGTTGCCTTCAAACCTCTCTTCCGGATCCTGGATGTGGAAGCAGATTTTGCAGAGTCGGAATCTTCCGGAAAAGTTTATAAAGGTTGAGGTGCGGAATGGTAGATCGACGTTATTCTGGTTCGACAACTGGTCAAACTTGGGCAATTTGCTGGAGGTTACTGGGGTTCGCGGATGTATGGATTTGGGGATTCATATTGAGTCAACGGTGGAGGAGGTGATACGTATGCACAGACGGCAAAGGCATCGTCAACCCATTCTCAATAAGGTGGAAGACGAGATAGCAGGAGCTGTGTCCACCTATATGGAAACAGAGGAAGACATACACAAGTGGAAAGAAAAGACACACTCGTATAAAACGAGGTTTAGTACAAAGGCCACATACGAACAATTGCGATCTCATCATCCACAGGTCCCATGGTCGAATGCGGTATGGTTTAAGCATCACAACCCCAAGTTCAATTTCATTGCTTGGTTGACGCTGCAGAACAGGCTATCGACGGGTGAGAGAATGATAGCGTAGAACTCAAATATCTTTGTGGCATGTGTGTTTTGCCAAGCCACAATGGAAACAAGGAATCACTTATTCTTCTCTTACCCATTTACAAGCCAGATATGGAGAAACTTAGCAAGAGGTTTTCTGCGCAACGATTTCTCTCTTGATTGGGACACTATTGTTCAGCTCATCTCGTGTCCGTTAATGAGTACAATCCACAGCTTCATTGCTCGGTATTTGTTTCAAGCCACAATTTACACGATTTGGAGAGAACGGAATGCTCGTAGGCATGGAATGCTACCGGTTTCACAGGCTAGATTGATCAAGGAGATAGACAAAGGAATCCGGAACAGATTCAGTTCGATACGACTCCTTGGGGATACCAGGTTCGAGCTTGGTCTTCAAGAATGGTTCGCATCACGACATCACCATTGACGGACGTTCGTCGGTCCAACCTTTTTCTAAGCTCTGATTTTTATTTTTAAAATTATTTGTAACTATTAATCGCTCGCATCTTTGATGTAGAAACGCCTTTTTTTTTTATTCGAATAAAATTTAACATTCATTCAAAAAAAAAAACACTCCAAATTTCCCAAAAGTGATGGACTTCAAATCAGACAAACACTTAGAAACCCAACCCAAACGAAAAAGGAGGAAAATATACATACATAGATACATAAATATATAATAAAAACAGGGGTACAGTGCCGACACTCAAGATGCATCGGCCACCGGCCAGAATCAATGGCTAAGGATTTCTTCAGAAACTGTTTTTGTTTATCACCTAAAGCGTTGCCAGTTTAAAGGGATACAATCATTTTTTTTTTCTAAACCAAAAATTCTTCCACCCCAGTCAAGCCAAGTACTTTTATGAATATTCCAATTTCATTTAAAACTATTTCTTTTGTTCCTCTAGATCATATTTATTATGTTTTATGTTCTCTAGTCTTTTGTTATAATGATTTTCTCGTTTCTTTCATGATATATCATGTGTTACTACCAAAATATGAAGATAATGGTTTCAACTCGGGCGAAGTCATATCTAATTTTTTAGTATTATTATTTAAAACGGCAGCCAACGATCTTAACTATGTCCGTCTAGCAATCTACCACCACTCGCTGAAGAAATAAAGCCTAGTAGGACTCGTATCGATCGCAACCACAATATGTCATCTCATGATGCGGGAGTGTTTGGGTTAAATTGATGGAACAGATGGATAGCAATCAAAATTCTTCTAAAAAATTATAGGCATTTAATCACAACGAAAATAGCCAAGAAATATTAGATTATATCAGACCTAGAATGATGATGGACAAGGCACATAAACATAATGTTCGTGTGGAAGTCTTATTTGAGAAAGAAAACAATCTGTAATTGTTCTTATTTCGTTGTAAACTTAATCATTATAATAGTTTTATTTGTCTTGTCATTGACAACAATGTAAGTTTTAATTTTTATTTTAAAACAATAATTTTTTGGTGCGAGAGAAACAATAGACGCCATGGTGAAACACCAATTCCCGAAGCTCTCTGATATGATGGTTTGGAACCGGCTAAGCACGACCAGACAAGGAGGAGACAGGAGTCGGTACGAAGATGGCTTGCAAACATTGTTTGCGACAAGAAGCACTACAAGAAAGTAGGACTTTAGCAACGATTATTTACGACGATTACAAATCGTCGTAAATTCCCTTCGAATTAACGACGATTGCACGACGATTCTTAGAATCATCGCCAAATCGTCGTTAATTTGCGACGAAACATAATCGACGTTAAATCGTTGTGAAATAACGACGATCTGGCGACGATAACAAGAGTCGTCGTGAAATCGTCGTAACTTAGGGACGATTTAACGACGAATAATTTCTGTCGGGAATCAACGACGAATTTACGACAAAATAATAGGTCGGTCAAACACGTTTTCACCCGATTCTCATTTTTCGTTGTTAATTCGTCGCTAAACTACATTTCGTCGTTAATTCGTTGTTAAATAACGTTGTTAATTCGATGGTAACCCAAATAAAAATCTATATATAGTGCCTCCCATAACCCAAAAAAATCACAATGCTCCTAAATAAGAGTGATTGAATTGATCACTTAATTGGGAACAAGTATAAATTTTAAAATATTCACTTGGTAGTGAATATTAAATATATATACGAAATGTCGTCCATATACGAAATTCGAAAATGGATGTACAATCGTATTGATTCAACGGGATCATTGACAAAAGAATTCAGTGAGGGGGTTGAGGGATTCATGCATGAGGCGGGAAAACTCCCAAGAACGATTGCCAGTCGTATGATGTATTGTCCTTGTCCTAAATGCATGAATAGAAAATTTATCACAATCGCGAAAGTGTGGTTGCATATATTAAATAGAGGATTTATGCCACATTACTTTATATGGTATCATCATGGAGAAGGGCATAGAGAAAGTAGTGCAGGTAGTAGTAATAGCAATTATCAAGCATCAAATTTTGAAGACTCGTCAAATAATTTGCATCAAGATGAATATTATAATGCAGAGCAGCAAAGGTTTGATCATGATAGAATTTAAGACATGGTTACAGATGCATTTCATGAGACCACAAATACATTTGCACCTGTCCATGATGAGGAACCCAATGCAGATGCAAAATTTTTTTATGATATGTTAGGTGCTGCTAATCAGCCACTTTACAATGGATGCAAAGAAGGACAATCTAAATTATCACTGGCAGCTAGGATGATGACTATTAAAACTGATCATAACTTAGCTGAGACTTTCATGGATGATTGGGCTGACCTGATTAAAGAGTATTTGCCGGCAGACAATTTAGCAGCTGGAACTTACTATGAGATCTAGAAACTTATTTATAGTCTAGGATTGCCTTCTGAGATGATAGATGTCTGTGTTGACAATTGCATGCTATTTTGGAAAGATGATGATAAGTTGGAGGAATGTCGCTTTTGTCATAAGCCTAGATATAAGCCGCAAGGAAGTAGTCGCTGCAAAGTACCATTCCAGCGTATGTGGTACCTTCCTATAACTGATAGGTTGAAACGAATGTATCATTCTGAAAGAACAGCGGCAGCGATGAGATAGCATGCAGATCATTTGCAGACAGATGGAAAGATTACTCATCCGTCGGATGCTAAAGCGTGGAAACACTTTAAGTCCGTACATCCAGATTTTGCCAGAGAGAAAAGAAATGTATACCTTGGTCTATGCACAGATGGATTTAGTCCATTTGGTATGTCAGGTAGACAATATTCGTTGTGGCCTGTAATCTTAACGCCTTACAACCTTCCTCCAGATTTGTGCATGCAAAGAGAATTTTTATTCTTGAGTATTTTAGTTCCTGGTCCAAAACACCCAAAGCGTTCCCTTGATGTATTTTTGCAGCCTCTAATTGAAGAATTAGAGAACTTGTGGTATACCGGAGTTCGAACATATGATTTTGCAAGAAAAAAGAATTTTACTATGCGAGCAGTGCTTATGTGGACTATAAGTGATTTTCCTGCTTACGGGATGTTATCGGGATGGACTACGCATGGTCGGTTGTCGTGTCCGTATTGTCTTTATCGTGAGATCCCTTATGCACATTTGACGGTGCATGATATCATTGCACAGCCGGGCCGAGAGAGACTTACTAAACTAGATCCTGATCTTCCGCCGGGTGCACATTGGTATGAAATGATTAATTAAAATATATATGTTTTATTATTATTAATTTATATTTATTTTAATTAATTTTATTTATCTAAATTTTTATATTGTTGTTTTAGGTTTGGCATTCATAGCAAGGTTGACCGCACGGTTTCTGATATTATCAAGTCCTACTTTGTGGAGCCTCATTGCAATCTCACCCAGCTTTCACAGCATACCATTGACACATGGTTCAAAATATTTGCGGTAAAATCAATTTTTAAAATAATTTGTTGTTTATTTAAATGATTATTTAAATTATTCCAAAATGTAATTATGTGGTTTTTTTTGTAGCAACGGTATGACTGGGATGAGAAAGACCATAGCGAGGTGGAGAGACTCTTTACGGAGAGAGTGAAGCTTCGACTTATGGGCACGGTTTCCGATTGGAAGAAATCGTGGAAAGTCATTGGCGATGATGCAAAGCCTATTAGCATGGACCCTGAGGTGTGGAAGGGTTTGGTGCAATACTGGTTGATTCTGCATTCGCAGGAGGTTGCGGAAAAGTGTTCTATTTCTCGCAATGCGACTGATTCAGAGGGTCAGAAGAAGGTTTTTCCTCATACAGCTGGCCAAACACCATTTGGAGGTGTTCGACTGCAGATGGTATGAAATTGTTATTTATATATTTTTAGATAATTAATTTATGGTATTTGATATTATAATAACTTTTTTTTAGGCTGCCGAGAATGGAGGCGAATTCCCGTCATGAGAGAGGTTTTCGCGAAGTGTCATCGGAAAAAGGATGGCGCATTCGTTTCTGAGAAAGCCGAGCAGCTCTATAATGAAGTTACTTCAAAGGTTGCTGAGCGAGAGACCCAACTATCTCCCGGAGGTTCTTCAGTTCAATCCGGAGGGTTGACTACTCGTGAGATCGATCAAATCTTCGAGGAGGTATATATATTTAATAAATATTATTTATTTATTTATTTTTAATATTTTGATTTCTAATAAAATTAACTTTAAATTGTAGGTCGCTCCGAAATAGAAGGGAAAAGTTGTAGGGATGGGATCTATTAGAGACGTCCCGAGTGCTTCGTCATCCGCACCACACCGCCGAGGACCAGAAGATGATCCAGTCGTTCTACGGGCCAAGATTGCAACTTTAGAGGAGTCTCAAACCGCATATCACCAGGAAGTTCAGGAGGAGCTTTTGGAGTATGACTCCATCTTCGATATCATTGCCCTCTCAATCCCAGATGTTGCAAATGCCTTGTGAGCAAAACGTCAAAAACGTGCAGCGGAAAAGGAGGCAAGATTGGCGGCATGGAGAATGGCGACACAAGCTGCGGGTACTCAAGAAGCATCTACAAGTGGTTGAGCGACACAAGCTGCGGGTACTCAAGGAGCATCTACAAGTGGTGGAGAGGATCAATCACATGCTCCGGTTACAAATCTTGCGGACGATTTGGGAGATTTCAAAATTGATTATGATGCTTAAATATAATTTCTTTTTGTTGTAATAAAAATATTTTGTTTTTTTAATTAAAATAATTTTATTTTCATATTTTCGAATTAATTTATTCAAATTAATTTATTTAATTTAAATTAATATTTCCAAAAAATTTGGGTTTAAAAAATAAATAAACTTTCGTCCTTAAATCGTTGTAAATTACGACGAATTACCAATGATATGTTTACGACGAATTAGGGACGAATGTATAATAACGACGATTTAAGGACGATTCTTCGACCACGAATTTGCAACGAATTGCCGACGATTGTTTTTCGTCATTTAATCGTCGTTACTTTTACAACGATGTTACGACGAATGCTTCCCGACGATTTAACGACGATTCTTCGTTTCTCGCTAATTAAAGACGATTTTACGACGAATTACCAGTTACGACGATCAATATACGACGAACTGGAATTCGTCGTTAAATCGTCGCAAACCTCATTTAACAACGATTTAACGACGAATATGGTCGTTGTGAAATGGGTGATTTCTTGTAGTGAAGAAGTTCTTAGCATGAAATGCTCTATTTTAGGATTTTTATGCTTTTTATTTTTTAGCTTTGAAAAATTAAGAAACTGAGTTATAAAAAAATTATTATTTTTGAAAATAGTTTAATATTTTATTCAAAAAAATAAAATAAACCTCTATGTTATTATTTAAGAAAACATTTAAGAAAATGAGTTTTTCTAAATTATTACGTATCAAATTATTACAAAAAGATAATTAAAATAAAAAAAGATATAATTATTTTTGAAAACTTAAGAAACGAATTTGAAAATACTTGTTTTCCATTAAATATATTATTTTATTATTTAATTTATTAATTATTATTATATTAATAAACTATAGTTTATTATATTTTATTTGAATATTTATCAAAAAGTTAAAACACTATTTTACTAATTTTATAAAAAAAATTAAACTAGAAAAAAATAAATTTTATAAGAGTTTGTGGACAGACCATAAAATTATAGGTTTTAATGATTATATGTTTATTATTAAATGGTGCATATTAAATTAGTTTTAAAATGATAGATTTTTAAAAGTTAAGCAGAATAATATTTTAATTTTCTGCAAAACGAGTTAAATAAACTGATTAGTCTGGTTTAAAATTTCTAATTAATTAAACATATTAGAAAATTAAGGTAAAAATAAATTTTCTTAAGTTTCAAAATATCTTTTAGGAGAAAATTATCCAATTATAGCGTGGATTAAATTCTAATAAATATAAAAAAAAGAAAAAAGGGATGAAGTGGAAACTTATGTGAAAATGACAATTGAGCTATGAGACAGAAGCCGGTACAAAGTAGGTCTTTATATTTTTCCGTTATGAGCTACAGTAGTATTATTTAAATTATATATTTTTTTTTGGTCGAAATATGATTTAAATTATATATAAGATAAAAATCCAAAAGAAAACAGTTACAAATGGTATAAACGTGAGAGAAATGCTCTACGACTTCAAGTAATTATATTATATTTTAACGGCTCCACACGAATAAAAATAAATGGGAGACAAGCTAAAAACCTTTAAAAAATCCTCTTCCTTTTTAAAAAGTAGTTCTATTCTATTATTCCTGACTCCACATGAAGAAAAATAAAAGGTAGAGAAGCTAAAAAGTAAAAAACCTTTAAAGATCTCTTCGTTTAAAAGTAGTTCTATTATTTGTCTCCACAGAAAGAAATATAAAAGGTAGACAAACTAAAAACCTTTTAAAGACCCTCTCTTCCTTTAACAAAATAAAAATAAGGGAAATTAGGTGGAAGAGCATATTTCAGTGTATAAATTGGTACTATTATTTATTATGTTTAATTAATGAAAAATTACTTAGCACCCCACTTTCTCCTTTTAGCAATGTTATTCAATATAATCCACTAGCATTGTAAACTTTTTATATCTGACAACATTTTACTTTTTTCACAAAAAAATTCTCTCTTTTACAAAGAAAAATTCCTTCTACATAATATACTCATTCTCTTTCTTCAAATTTGAAATTCAAAATCTTCTTTTTTTCAGCTCTTCCTCCCTTTTCTCTCTCAAGCTCTTTCTCCGAAGCTTGGTAAACGAGAATAATCCACCGTACCACCTACATTTCTCGACCCCTAAGCCGTAGTTCTTCCATCACTGCTGAGTGACCGGTATAATTTTCAATCTCAGCTGCCATTTCGTTTGCTCAGCTCGATTTTCTCGTTTGTTCTCGTTTTTCCACAAATGACATCTCTGTAATTCTAGATATAGCATTACAGTATACTTAATACTAATATCTAGGACTGCGTTTTGTCAACTCGTGTTGCTTGTTTTCTGTGTAATCACATGTTTTTAATGTTAGATCTAGTTTTAGAGATTGGTTAATAGTTTGATTACAAAAATGGAGTGAACAATCCAGATCTACTTTATCTTTGTTCAGGTTGCTTAATAGGTGTCTACTTTATCTTTGTTGTCTACTAATAGTTGTCTTATATCTGTCTACTAATAGTTGTCTACTTTATTAATATATACAGAATGGCAAACAATGTATTTCTCCAGCTTCAGATGTATTGATCGATGTTTTTGTAAGAGTAGAGAGAGAATCTGTAGACTTCAGCTGCTAGACCTTATATTCCTCGAATACGGTTGGAAACACCAGTTGAAGTGCTGTGAGCATTGCTACCTGTTCACTCATTACCAAGTTGCGAGGAATGTTCTCGTGCCTTAGGTATCTACCATAGTAAACGACCTATGTATAGATGACTATGTTATGTACTCTCGTTATGAACATTTTCTTGTAGTCAACTACTATTTAATTATGAACATCTCACGTTGCATTTGTGGCGTACTACTTTATCTGTGTATTAATTGTTATACACTTTTTAGTTGTAGTTGAAATTTTTGTATCTGACTACTTAGTATTACTTGCTATTAAGATGCCTAGCGTTATGTTTTTGGATTTTAAATAAATAAAAAAATCGACAACAAAATAAAAAAGTCAGAAATACCCTTATTATGCTGTTCATAATAGCCTTGCGAAGAAACACTAACATAACATACCCGAATTCAGAGTCTGTTAAAGATCAGGTTTATAATTGTATAAATATAGTCAAACATTTTATAGTCACCTTTTTTGTATTCATCTACTGTAACTGTTCAGGCAACCGAGGATATTGCAGACTTCTCAGATCTGAATTCCAAGTCTGCTAAGTTCAAGTTCGTATTCATCTATTAATAGTCATATATTTTATAATAGCTTTTTTATTCCTCTAGTGATATTGTTCAGGCAACCAAGAATATGTTAGATTTTCCAGATTCAAATTCTGAATTTGCTAAAGTTCAGGTTCGTATACATCTAATAGTAACTATCTATTTTATAATCGTTTTTTTTTTAGTTCCATGATACTATTCAGGCAACCGAGGATATGTCAGACCTCCCAGATTCGAATTTCAAATCCGCTAACGACCAAGTTTGTATTTATCTATTTGTAGCTGTCTATTTTGTAAATGATTATTTTGATTTATATACTGTTACTGCTTAGACCACCGAAGATAATGCAGGTGCAGACATTCAGACCCGAATTCTGAGTTAGATAAAAGACAGGTTTGTATCCATCTATTAATAGTTGTCTATGTAATTCATATATGTAATCACATATGCACATATGTCTTATATTTATTTTGACTGTTCAGGTTACTGATGATAATGCTGGCCGAATCGATCGAAATACTGAAGAAGCTCGGGAACAGGTACGTAATCGACTTTTAATATCCGTCTATTTATGTATAAATTATAGACACTACTATCATTTTAAAGTCGATTTTTTATTATTTTTTATTATCTTAAAAATAGATACTGCTATTGTTCCAAAGTTGATGGTAACATCTCAAACTTTATAAAAATGATATGTCATTTTCGTGTCAGAGATAAAGCAGTGTTGGAGATAAAGGAGCAAGTGGTTTATGGTATTTTATCCACCCAAAAAGCAGTTGATTATTGCTATTTTGTTAATTGACCGATTTTGGACGCTATTTATCCAATTGTCAGACAAAAACCTATTATTCTTGCAAATCACCCTAAAAATAAAGTAAAAGAAACAAGACCACCTCTGTATTCTGTAAGAACATTTGGTTTTATGCAATACAATTTATTTTAAAAAAAAAAACAAATACTGAGACAAGATAAAAGAAACCTTTAAACGATACCCTTCCTTTATTGAAAATAAAAGAATCTTCAAAAATAAAATGTCCCTGTATCTTGATTATACATGCACAAAATACTGATCAGTATTTAAATACTCTTTTGTTAATTAATAAATTTGATCTTTTTAAAAAAATGCGTGCATGCATTCTACATTTTCTTAATTTTTTTTTTCTAATTAGTATCTAAGGAAAAAATTGTTTTCAATTAAAAAAAGATTTGGTATTAGATTCCCTTTTCCTAAATTCATTTTCGTTATATATATTCTTCTTTCTGGTTAAAATCTCTATATTATTATTTGAGTTTAGGGTTTAGAGATAGTTAGTGGATGATATGAGCGAATAATTTGACCTAAAATTCTTAACACACAGATCATAAAACAAAATAAATACGCTTTAATAAAATTGGTATTTAACACAACACAATTTGTATGTATAGCGAGACTTAGAAAGAATAGTATATTACACCTTACAAATATGTGTATCTCATAAAATATATAAGTAAATATGTTAGTGCTTTTTATTGGAAAATAATATTACATCAATATTAAAAAAAATGATTTGTAGGAAAGATAGAAATTAATAAGCAAAATTGAAATAGATTCTAAGTAAGGATTGAATTTCTGATAAAGAAATTGCAAGGGAGAAATCCACAACGAAATAAAAACTCTTTTGTTTTCTCATGTTTAGACACTTTCTTTCTGAAGTTTATGTTGGAATTTTTTTTATTATAAATCAAATTTGTTTCCTTTTTATACAAAAATGTCTAATTCTTAATTTGTAGGATGAGTTTGGATCTTGCAAATAATAAACATATGACAATTTTTGACACATAATAATGAATAACCATTTGTTTTAAATTCAGATAAAATCAATAATATCTAACGCCTCAACTCATTTTTTTGGAATAACAAAAAATAAATAAAAATAATATGCACTATAAAAGATTATTTATACCATTAAATATTTTAACAAAATAATGTCACTTAATTAAAGTTGCAAAAAAATTTTCGGCAACTATATAATCCAAAATCACAACTCTATAAATTTGGATCAATTTTGTTAATTAACTATTTTTTTTTGATAGAGGGTATTCAATTAAAATGCAGAAAACAATACAAGCTATGAAAATTAAGTCATACAGTTTTAGAAATATGTAAGAACATAGTTAAAGAGAATTAAGCAAGAGCTTAATCTAATTTTTAAAGCTGAAATTAAAGCTTACTAGTAAAAGAAGAAATAGACGAGTTAAAGATTTGGACTTTTCTACTAGTTGAATAGTCCTCGGCCACCACGCCCTCCAACCGTAATCCATTGCTCTTGGATCTTTTGGGTTGGTTTAAGAGGTCTACCTACTCATCTATTTTGGGCTAACTTCTTACAAAAAGACATGAAAAAAGCACATCACGTCAGCAACTATGCGCTTCATTAGGTTTGCTGAAAATTTTACTTAGTTGGCAGAGATTAATATTTTAAATTTCAAAACATTTATTGTAGTATTTAATGATAGATAAAATAAGAAAAAGCATCACGCTGAAAATATCACTACTTGTTTTCTGGCAATTTTCTCACGGAAAAAATGTAAAATAGTTGCGTTTCTTCAAATTCGGGGAAAATTTGACAGATTTAAACCGGAGGATAGAAAAGGATTGATCAAATTCATTTTAATGTAATTCGACGACATGATAGTTATTTTATTATGAAATACTGATGATAGGTTACATAAACGTTTTCTTATTAAATGAAATTTATAAAACTGAAACACGATACCAAAGTAACAAGTAGTATAAGATAAGAAAGAACACGATTAAAGTTGCAAGGCTCTTGACTATGGAACCCTATGAAGGAGCCATAGGAGCGAAATAAACTCCGATAGCATCAAAAGAACCACCATCCCTTCCGTGGAACCCTATAATAGCATTACCTTGACTCTCCAATACGAATTTGGTACCAGTCACTAATCCAAATGTCTGAGAGATTCTCCCTTTTGATGTCTTGAAAGTCAAAGACGTAAGGACCAAATAGTTACCTTCATGTATGTGGTCGTAGGTACCCTCCACAGATGTCATATATTCATTAGGAAAGTCCACCACAAACTGCAATTAATGTATAAAATTAGTGTTGGAAATTCTGTTTAAAATAAATATAGACCGAACCTAGTATATAAAATTTGTTGACCATGTTTAACTAGTAAACTTACAGTCGAATAATTTTGATATAGATACAATATTCACAAGAACCTCGTACAATAAGCACTTCAAAACCATGTTTATATATATGGACGAAGAATGTTTAGGGTTGTAGAGATGTAGGACCTCTTGTGTTTCTCCATTCTTCATCCCGTGATAACAAGATGCCACTTGGCCGTCTTGGTCGTAGTCGATGTTCATACTCCTTATATGAGTTTCAGTAAAAGTAACATACACTGCTCTTACGCCGTCGTAATTAGGACCATCATCCCAATATTCGCCTCCGGTTATGCCACCTTGAAGCTCCGATTTGGTAGGAGGAGTCTTTAAATATGCTCCAAGAGAGCGGAGGTTGAGCCCAGCAGATCCATGGAAGCCAACAATGATCTTTCCACTGACTTCAAGTGAAAACTTAATACCCTTTTGATATCCAATAAATCCTGAAGTCTTGATGTTGGTTTTGAATTGGAGTGCTTGCATCACACCAGTCCTTACGTCATAGTAACCCTCAACAGATACAATATGTTCGTATTTGAGATGGTCAATCTCTAACTGCAAACAATAAATGCGAAATTTAATAATTTTGATTGTAAAATAAGATATAAATATTCTTATACTTTTATGGTTTGTTTTCACAGTGCTATACATATATATATATATATTTCTTAAAATACAAAAAAAAATTCCAATAAAAAGTGTCTTTATAAAATAACCCGCATGAAATTATTAAATATACCGTCTGTGTAAAGCCGTCGGCCGAACCACCATGGATGGTTCCATCTATGGATTGTCCATTCTTGACATAGTCGAATTTGATGTAGTGAATGCCTTCATGACCACCGTGTACATAAATCTTTGTTACATAATCATGGTCGGCTCCATCATCCCAAAGCTTGCCGCCCTTCCCACCAATCGCTTCTAACTTTTGAGCGATTGCGAACACATTTGAATCTTTAAAACATATATAACTGAATTAGGGTATTTTGTTTTAATCAGATCACCATAGTTTATGCTGGGACTATGAAAATAAAAATAAAAATTACTTTTTTTTACAAGCCAAGCATCAGCCCTTGTCAAAACGAAGGGAAGAAGACTTGTGAATTCTCTGGATATTTGTACACAAATTGATATTAAACGTAAAATTTGATGTTGCAAGAAAAAAGAAATCAATTCATATAATATTTCTTCAAAATAATATGACATATATACATATTATAATTTGAAGAAAAATGAGGAAGCTTGGCTGAAATCTTTCATTTAGATGGAATGAGATAGAGGAAGAGATCTAGACATAGTTAGCTTAATTACCCAAAATGGCAGATGAGAGAGAGAGAATAAGATAGAAGATCAACATCATATGCTTCAGTGATTGATGAATGTATAGTTTGGGGATGAAGATTTATGCATTCATTAACCATGTAGCATATCTTATATATACCAATAAATATTTTTGGCTCTATAAAATATGTATAGTGTCCCATAAGGCAATCACTACAACAAACACACCAAGTAGCGTCTCTTTTTCTGAGCCAGTTGCATAACTGACGCAATTGGACTATATAAAATTAAGTACTGTACTTTATGATAATACTATTCCCTCTTAATAATGAGTAAATTATAAATAAATTTATGCAACAAAAGTTCTTCTTCTAGTTTCTCTTTCCAGAAACTAAACACGGTCTCTCAAAATCAAAATCGAAGAACATAGTTTCATCGAGGTCATGGAATTTTTCGTTACTCTGCATCTCTAATTGAATTGGAATCGTTCACAGACTCAACAGTGTGAAGTAGCTTCACAAAATTCGTAAACTTTGAATTGCTTAGAATTTTGTTGTGCTTATGATGACGAAAAACTTGATTTGATAACGATTATGAATTTCATTGAAGAATATAAGGGACTTGTTTGAGATACGGTTTTAACGGTGGTGAATATTAAATTTAAGAAAAAATTAAGGTAATCTTAATTGATTATAACTTTGCTTCTCTTAACAAACTTTCTTAAAACGAGTCATCTTCAATGCCTGGTTGTATTGGAATCGCAGATTAATGGGAGTTGCATTTATGTAGATTGGATTGATTTTAAAAGTTTAGACAATTATAAAATTCGCAAAAAACCTTGTTAGATTTTGCATAGAGTTTTGTGTATTTCTAAAAATTCATCAAAATATTTACTGTAATAAATTAAAAAATCCAAAATTATCTATATGATTTTGGAAGTTTTGTTTTATGAGTTAAATTGTTAAAATAAATATTATAATAACACAAGTTTGTGATTAACAAGCGTATGTGACTATGTTCATATATATAGTTCGATATATTTTGAAGTTTATCATTGACCAGGCAATTAGAAATCGATTATTGTTAGCTGGTCTATCGTTTATATGAATTTCTTGTTCGATTGTTTTCATTTATCTTTACAGTTGACTTTTAGCGTGATACGAATACTTGTGATTCCAATTCACGTGCTTATTAGTGTTGCCTTCACCGTAAAGTTGAACATATACCGTATATGATATACGATCCTGAATCTGTCGTGGATCTCAAGTTTTGTTTTTTTTTTCTTTTTTTTTTTGTTGTTTCTGGTCAACGAGGCTGAGTGATTTTTCACTTATATGATCATTAATGGGATTACACGTTCCATGAGAATAAGATTTGACTATTTGAGTTGTTTTTCTTAAATCACGTACTTATTAGTGTTGGCTTCACCGTAAAGTTGAACATATACCGTATATGATATACGATCCTGAATCTGTCGTGGATCTCAAGTTTTTGTTTTTTCTTTTTTTTGTTGTTTCTGGTCAACGAGGCTGAGTTCACTAATAAGATCATTTATGGGATTCCACGTTCCATGAGAATAAGATTTGACTATTTGAGTTGTTTTTCTTAAATAACAGGTCCGATATATAATTTGGTCAAGTATCTTCTCTCATATAGAAGATGTTTTTTATAACAAGTCTCACCCCAAAAGGCCAAAACATATATTTGAAGTGATTCATGTATCATGTTCAACGAAAGATAAAAATGATCATAACGAAAACCAAACCTTCTATTAAAAAAAAAAAATCATAACGAAAACCTTTTTTGTATTTAATCGTAGGGTAGTCTGTTAAATTACTGCATGTTGGGATATGAACAGTATGTTGTATAAAGTATACGAAAAGTCTCAAAGACTTTTTTTTTTTTTTTTTTTTAAAGTCTATTTTATTTCATTCCAACCCTTTAAAAGGGACATCGTTTTGATTACAGGAACACTGAATTAAAAAGGACCTAAAAAAAAGAAATAAAAGACATATAGGAAACACATGTGAAACGGGAAATGAGTAGTCGAAGCCGTCACAGCTGGATGTATTTGAACCAAGTGTATATGAAACTTTCGTGATCAGGAGAAATGGAAGAAGTCTGACGGGAAAGGCTTTGAATTTCCTTGCGATCCATACTAGCAAGCTTAGCTCTGATGATTAGTTGAATTTCCCTGATAATAATAGAGGTCGACTTAAAAATTGCATTGTGCAACCGTGAGTTTCGTTCTCTCCATAAGGAATAGACCACTGCTTGTAGAACGATCTTGCAAATAGTATTAAGCTTTGCATTCCGTGAAGGATTACGAACCCAGGAGACTATATCAAGAAGAAGAGTAGGAGGCGAGAGAGTCCGGTGAATGAAGAATGAAGTCCAAACTTCCTTGGAATAAGAGCAATCGAACAGAATATGAGCTTTGCTTTCCGGATATGAGTTACACAAAAGACACTCTTCTGGGACATTCAAACCCCAACTACGCAAACGGTCCCTTGTTGGTAATCTGTCACGCATGAGGATTCAAAAAACAAAAGCTTGTTTTGGAATGCAATCTCTAAACCAAGTAGATCCGTACCAAGTGACAGCTGGGGCTGGCGGATGAAGGAGTTTCCAAGTTTTAGAAGTTGAAAACATACCCGGAGGTTCATTTGCAGAGTTTCTCCAAAGGAAGAAATCCTCTTGTTCAGAGGAAGTATCAGGTGGGATTTGGGGGAGACAGCCCCTTAGCAAAACCAGAATCGGATGTCTTCCGTTTGAAATAGCCCATGAACCATTTGCGCATGCTTGAGAGACCGTTGCAGAAGAAGATATTCCAGTAACCCTTGGACCAGGAGGTCCAGTTAAATCAATCAGGGATCCAGAGAAGTCCAGTCATCATGCCAGAACAGAGCTTTCCTTCCATTTTTGACCTGACAGGCCAGAAAGGAACGCGCCATGACTCGAAGCTTCAACAGTTTTCGGCAAATCCAGCTCCCGGACCGATGGAAATCTGCGGACCAAAAGAGTTTCTCCTTAATGATATTCTTCTTGATCCAGGCAACCCATAAAGACCCGTTTTTAGCAAATATCAACCAAATCAATTTTAGACTGTAGACTTGGTTGGAGTCTTTAATCTTCCTCAAACCCAAACCTCCTTCTTTCTTAGGAATACAAACATAGTTCCAAGCAATTTTGGCCCCGCGGGCAGAATCAGACGCACCGCTCCATAAGAATGCATTGCACACCTTTTCAAGGAGGTCGATGCAGCCTTTTGGCAAAGGAAAAACTGATGCCCAAAAGTTTATGATGCTGAAGAGAACCGACTGGATAAGTTGAAGCCTTCCTGCAAAGGAGAGATGACGGACAGTCCATGATGAAATCCTTGCTTTGACTTTATCAATTAAAGGTTGATAATCTTGAGGATTCATCTTATGAGGTAACAAAGGAAGGCCAAGATATCTGACCGAAAGAGACCCCTGCTGTAACCCAAACAAGTCCGCTAAATCTCGAGAAGCCACCAGATTATTTCCATCAACAAACAGATAAGACTTACTCAGATTTAGAGCTAAACCGGAAACCCCTTCAAAATTACGCAAAACACGTAATATACCGTCCAAAGACCTCTGAGAGTCATCAAAGAAAATGAGAACATCATCTGCAAAACTCAAATAGGTAATGAGAGGCTCATGACAAAGAGGATGAGGGTTAAAAACACCTTCACGAGCTGCCCTATCCAAATCTCTGGATAGAATATCCATTGCCAAAACAAAAAGAGATGAGGATATAGGGTCACCTTGCCTTAACCCTTTTTTGCCGGGAAAGAACCCTACTAATTCTCCATTAAGAGCCACCGAGTAGTGAGGAGTGCTGATACACTGATTAATCCATCGAATAAAACCATCCGGAAGATCATAAGCTTTTAGAATATTTAACACAAAATTCCATTCCACATTATCATAAGCCTTTGAAATATCGATCTGTAGACAGCCCCGAGAAGTATCACCAGGTTTATTGAAATCGACTACAAGTTCGGATGCAAGAAGAACGTTCTCGCACAATAATCTGCCTTGAACAAACCCTGCCTGATTTCTTTGCACTGAGTCAGCTGTAAAAAGCTTGAGCCGAGAAGCCAAAATACGGGAAATAACCTTGTAGACTGTGTTACATAAGGATATCGGCCTAAATTGTCCAAGCTTGGAAGCTCCAGGAACCTTTGGAATTAGAGCAATGACTGTGGAATTCACTTGCCTGTGCATTGAGGATGTCAAGAAAAACTCCTTAACTGCCTTAATTAAATCGGCTCCAACTAAAGTCCAAGAAGAGATGAAGAACTCGATAGTAAACCCGTCAGGCCCAGGGGCTTTACTCTTGGGTAAGGAGAAAACAGAAGCTGTGATCTCTTCATCGGAAGGAATAACACACAGCTGGGCTGAAATGGCACTTGAAAATCGAAAGGGATGAAGACTCTTTATATGATCAACAGAGTAGGGGTGGACGCCAGGATTTGCAGATCCTAATAAGTCCAAATAATACTGTGTTACCATATTTTTAAGCTGAAGAGGATCCAAAATTATGACATTTGCATTGTCGTAGAGAAAGTGGATTCTATTCCTGGATAGATTGGCAACAACAGACTTATGGAAAAACCTGGTATTAGAATCTCCCTCCGACATCCAGCGAATTCGGGACTTGAGTCTGAAGAAGTTTTCCTCAGCAGACGCGAGAAAATAACCACTTATCTTTAGCTATTTTCTCATCTTCGAATAATGCTGGAACTGGGTTAGATAACAGCCTTTATTGAATAGACTCCAAATTCTCAAAAGCCTCCTTGGTCCTAGACTGAATGTTACTGAAACTGCATTGATTCAAAGACTTGCAGCAGAGTTTTGCGGACCTCAAACGCTGATATAAAGTAACCATATGACCCGTTGGGTTGACCAGACTGTTCCAAGCACATGCCATAAGATCTGAATACTTCGGGTGAGAAGAATAAAAAGAGAAAAGGTAAAGCGGGTCTTCCTCCTTACAGATTCGTTTGACAAGGTGACAATGCAAGGAGAATGATCAGAGCTTCCCGGGGCATCAAAATAAGCGCTTGAGGAGGGAAAACTGACCTGCCAGCTTTCATTAATGAGAGCTCGGTCAAGCTTCCTGGACTTGGGGTTTGAGGGGCTCTTGTTGCTCCAAGTAAAGAAGCATCCCCGATGGGAAAGATCGAATAATCCAGAAGAAGACAGACAGTCCTGGAGATCGTTCATACCTTGAAGAGAGACGATACTCGGATGAAGGGAGTAAGCTTCCGACAAGGATAAAACTTGGTTGAAATCGCCCATGACTAACCAAGGATGATTGCCTAGTAGGGTTGAATTAGACAAATGGTCAATCGTTTCCCACAGAGAACGCCGTTCAGAGTATGTGTTCCGAGCATAGATGAAGGCTACAGTAAATGATTGAGTGGAGACTAGATTAAAAATTCCGCAGAGCATAATCAGGTCTGTCTTCATATAGGTAACAACTGATAGAAGGGGATTCCAAATGACCAGAATTCTTCCGTTTACTGCTTCCTCCGAGTGGTTTGAATCAAAGTTCTATCCAGGTAACACTTGCCGCATGAACTGATCCAAATTTTCTTGTTACACATGTGTTTCCAAAAAGCCGCCAAATAAAGGACGGTTGGTGGAGAGCCACCTCTTAACTGATAACTGCCGAGAGTCGCCGCAAAGGCCTCGTATATTCCAACAAAAACACTTCATAAGAAGTCAAAAGGGGAGTGCAGAGCACTAGGCTTTTAAAACTAAGGACAAATTGCGAGGGCAATTGTCCTTAGAGCCAGAATCAGGAATAGAACGAGGAGAGCGAGACGATGACGGGCCAGATGGAGAAGCAGATAATAAAAGGAGGGTTTGACGTTGTTTCCTTCTAGCACTAGAGGAACAGAGTTTGCCTTCCCCACAGAATCCGATTTAATACCAGAACTAGATATAATTCCTTCAGGACACCTGAGCTCCAAGTGCCCAAATTCCTGACACCGCCTACATCGTGGAGGAAGACTAGGATAAGATGCAAAAACAACCACTGAGTTTCCCAATTTGTCTGTGACACACACGGACGAAGACCTCTGCTTTGCAAGCTCGACAACAACCTTCAATTTTGCAATGCCGTTTGAGTAAGGAGGAAGCTTCGAAGATTCTGAATGAACAGGAATCCCAATTCCGGAAGCGATGGTACTGAAACTTTGAAGCGACCAAAGCTCTTGAGGAATATTTTTGAAGAGAACCCAAATTGGCGCGTGAACAAGTTTCATCGGTGCCAAATTCGCCAAAGGGGACCAGACAGAGACGGTGAAAGAGCAATTTCCGGAGTACCAAAAGCCTATATCCCAAATTGGATTTAAATCCGAAAATATTTTCGCTGAGGAAGGAGGATTTCCATGAAAATAAGCAATAAGGTGGTCTTTCCAAACTTGAGAGGATCCAAGGGTGATGGAATCTGGAGCCCTGACAACTGGAGTGCCGTCGGAGCCAAATGAAGGAGAAGCCACCTTAGAAAGCTTCTGGAAGGAAGATCTGACTTTCGAAACCCAAAGAGAAGGAGAATAGTCCTTAGATCCAGAGGCAACAACATCAACTTCTGCAGGAGACGAACCACCAGGGATATCCGAAGAGATAACACAGGCCTCCGAGGAGGGAAAGAGGGTCTTAGGACAAACCCCGCCGGAGCACCCAACTCAGAAATGGGATGGAGGAAGAGTAGATCGGGGGGAACAGGGGGGAGGGAGAAGAGGAGAAGAGAAAGGTTCAGCCATAGAGAGAGGAGGCAAAACAAGAGATGCGAGGAAAGGGAGAGGATTCTCACCGTCGGCGAGAGGCAAGACGGCGGCGGCGAAGGGTTCCTAGTCCTAGGTTCAGTTTAAATCAGATTCCTCAATTTAACCAAAATAATGTCTGGTAAACCTTTCATCCCACAAAAAATGTCTTTTTGTCAAGTCTCAAAGACTTTGTATCTCTATATGAACAGTATTTTGTATAAAATGGACGAATCATCTGTACTGCTATCCTATCTTATTAGGTAGCTACTAGCTAGCTGTTTTAGCTAGATTAGTAATGGAAAATCCGTCTCTAGGACTGAAGTTCTCTTGTAGTGTTTATATTGTAGATTGAGTTTTAATTTCTATCAGGAACACATTTTCTGAAAAATAAATAGTTTGATTGTCGTAAGTTAGATCCGACCAGGCAACCATGAACCATCTCAGACCACTAACAATGCTACTTAAATCTTTTGACATTATTTCAATTTACACCTCCTAATTGTCCACTAGTCCCCGTCTAAACCGTTTAACTGCTACTCCACCGTCCACTAGCCTACTGAGTTTTAGAACCGAGACAATGGAAAGTCCCGAGAGATCATCGTTGGTTTTCCCTTGAGCCATTGTCTCAGACACGGGACACGATCCACCCCTATGCTCTCAAACGACGACCAAGAAGCAGCTACCGAGCTTGTTGTCAAGTACAATCCGTTTCGCTTGGTCACCAAACACGGTTCAAAGTTTAAACATTTGGGAGATTGAGTTCACAACGTCAAGATTTTTTTTTTCTTACGACGTCACCCTCTATTTTGAAATTTTTCAACCCTAGACGCTGCCAAACAAATAGATCAATTTTCACCACTTAAGTCCGGCTGATATAACAAAAAAAAAATTTGTTCGTAATGATGGTACAAGAGTTGTTTTATTATTAAAATATTGAAATAGGCTTGAATAATTAAGCCTTGTCTTTATTACATGAGATTTGCAGAATGGAAAACCAACATCACATTAACATTTGAGACAACAAGTATAAATACTAGTACAGTAAGTAAAAGATACGAGAAATAATTTAAGCACCATGGTCAAACTGTTCAAACTCGTGGCTAGTTAGTTTTTCCATGGAACCCTAATAATTTATAATCTTCATAATTCTGAAATTACGAAGTAATCGTCGGTGAGAAATAAACTCCCATAGCATCGAAACCACCACCATCCCGTCCATGAAAACCAACAATAACATTACCTTCTCTCTCGAACACGAATTCAGTTCCAGACACTAATCCATACGTGGGAGAGATTCTTCCTTTGGATGTTTTGAAACTCAACGACCTAATGACCAAAACGCCATCCTCGGGGATTGTGTTGTAGGTACCTTTCACGGTCGTCAAATATTCGTTTGGATAGTCGATCGCAAACTACAATGTTTTATAAAGCAAAATTAGAAATTAGAACTCACCATTGATCTAGACAAAAAAAAGGAAGATCTCACCATTGAAAGAAATGGAGATCTAATACACATACAAATTCATGTCAAAACGTTTTCCTATGAAGTTCACATAAAATAAATCCTTGTAGACAAAGGATAACGATCCAATTAGTCCAAAGGAATGATATGGGCCAGTATATTCCGTACCAATTGGTTTGAAAGAACAAGAAGACAAGTTTTATCATATAGTGGTTCATCAAGAGCATTAAGAAGAATGTTAACATAGAGTTGAGGAATTTAGTACCTCCTTTGTCTCTCCATCCTTGCTCCCGTGATAAGAAGTTACCACTTGGCCGTCTTTGTCATAGTCGGTGCTGATACTCCTAATAAGATAGTTAGTATAAGTAACATACATCTTTCTTACACCGTCATAATTAGGACCATCGTCCCAATATACACCTCCATATAAACCACCTACAAGTTCCGATTTAGTAGGAGGAGCCGTTGTTACATATGCTCCAAGGGAGTTTAGGTATTTCCCAGCAGATCCATGGAAGCCAATGATAATCTTGCCATCGACTCCAAGTGAAAACTTCGTAGTACCCTTTGGATATCCAATCAATTCAAAAGTCTTCAAGTTGGATTTGAATTGAAGAGCTTGCATCACACCGGTCTTGTCGTCGTAGTAACCATCAACAGACACAATGTGTTCATAATTGGATTGGTCAATCTCTAACTGCCCAAAAAATAAAAAGATTGCTATATATAAACAAAGATTTCAAAATCATGGAATCTCGGCCACATTTTTTTTTTTAATTATCTCTGTATTCATGTACTTTTAGTAGAGTATTTAAATTTTTTTGAAGAAACTAGGATATCCACTTGAAAACTCAAAAACATACAGTTTGTGTGAAACCATCACTCGAAACACCATGGACTGATCCATCTATGGATTGTCCATCCTTGACATAGTCGAATTTGATGTAATGAATTCCTTCACGGCCACCTCGTATATAAACCTTTGTTACATAGTCATGGTCGGCTCCATCATCCCACTGTTTGCCCCCTTTTCCACCAACTGGTTCCAACTTTTGGGCCGTGGCTAACCCATTGGAATCTTCATAAATTGAAGGCACACAGTGTTATTATATTATAATCTATGTTGAGATTTTTATTTTTAAATGTTGCTTCATGTCAAGCATCATATCTGTTCAGAATTAAATTTTTATGCGTCTATAGTTTAATATATTTTGAACTTGATAATGATTATAATATATTTTTATGCGTCTATAGTCTTTATTCTTCAAAATTATTATTGAACTGTTATATTTTATGGTAAGAATATAATTAATAGAAATAATGAACATTAGTGTTTTAATGTAGTATCGTTTTAACATTTCATCTTATATAAAACAAATGCATGGAAAATCATGTATAATAAATTGGGATATATAATTAATAGAAATAATGAACATTAGTGTTTTAATGTAGTATCGTTTTAACATTTCATCTTATGTAAAACAAATGCATGGAAAATCATGTATAATAAATTGGGGAATATAATTAATAGAAATAATGAACATTAGTGTTTTAATGTAGTATCGTTTTAACATTTCATCTTATATAAAACAAATGCATGGAAAATCATGTATAATAAATTGGGGAGAGAGAGAGAGAGAGAGAGAGAGATAGATAGAGAGAGAGAGAGAGAGAGAGAGAGAGAGAGATTAATTACCTATAATGGCTGAGGAGAGAAAGAGAAAAATATAGATGATAAACATTTTTGCTGTGCTATGATGATTGATAAAGATGCTATTTATAGACACAAGTTTGTTCCGCTCTTTCACATAAATAAATAACTAGTGGCCTATATGGCACAAACAGAATAATGTTTTTCAGTTTTCAAGTTTTTATTCTTCTAAAGATTTTATTGGACCGATTTATTTTAAACGGAATTTGATTTTTTTTTTGTGAATAAAGGAATTTGATTTTTAAAATATTTGTTTTAGATGTGTAACGTTTAAAATATCTTATGAATTTATTGTACTGGTTATTAACTTTTTTTTTGTCAAAAAGTTTTCATTTTTATATATTTTTGTTTTTTTTTAATTTATAAAGGAAGATGGGTCAAAAGTCCAACACATAAAAAAAAGAAAACAAGGTCCAAAAAAACTCAAATGGACTCGATTAAGTGAAAATTCTAAACCAGAGAAACTACAAAACCGGTCTAAACCGGATGGCGGATACACATTAACCCAAAAACGAAAACGACTTTTCCACAGCCGCCGCTACCTCCGCCGTTAAGAAACAGAGCACCAGAAAACCTGAATCTGAGACCCAAAGAACGCTACCACCTCACGATGAAAGATCCGAGAGAAAAAGTAAAACACCTAGGATCCAACTGGTGACCATAACTGAGGAAAGGAATGATAGGGAATATGATATTCTTCTCCATTCCCAAATTTTTTTACTATTTAAATGGAATTTTTATTACATATCATTCCTCTTTATTCATTTTTATAGGAGGAATTATAGAACAAATATATTCCTTAGGGAATAGGAAATGATAAAGAAATAATAAAAATTGGTAAAAATATATTGTTTGACATCAATTTAACGTGAATTTGTTCCATTTTTTGTTCCTGTTTTTTAGTTACCATTTATTATGATAATCTGTTCTATTCTTTGATTCTTTTTATTTTTTTTCCTTATCATTTCTGTTATTCCCCAAATAGTCACTAGTTGAACCCCTAGAAAAGAAGAGGAGAGCCGATCCGAAGACAAACTCGAAAACCACCAGTGGGAGGAGAGACCCATACCACGCCTAGCGACCTCCGAGAAGCCTCCATCGACGTAGATCAGCCGCCGCCAGAAATCTCCTTTCATGAACCGTCTACGCCTTCAAAACAAACGTTTTACTCATGAGATCTCCGATGGTTCAAGCTCTCAAATCCTGAATCGCCGCATCTAAACCCCAACCTCGCTACAGCCACCACCACACCGCCGGGAACACCTTTAAAAACCATAAGAGGAGAGCTCGGCCGAGAGGCGCTTGAGGAAGCTTCACCCGATAGGATCCGCAAAGCACCACTACCACCGATCTCCTGCCGAGCCACCGCAGCTTCGCCGAGAAGCCCAGATTCGCCACCAACTCTGTTGAGGAGAACACAAACAAAAAAAAAAATAAAATAAAAAGGGGAGAGCCCTCTCCGGCAAGATGAATCGCCGGAGAGGCAAAGGAGCTTTCAGATGGCGTAGGCGAGAGAGAAAAGAGAGAGGAGAGAGAGGCCGCTCAAAGGGAAAAAAACTTCTACCGGTTATTAACTTACTATCCTTAATTACGATAACAAAAAAAACACATGAATGACTATGAATTATACTTGATTTATTTTCAAGTTTATTTATCATTGACTAATTAACCATAAAATCAATCAAATAATAATTCTTTATCAAAAAAATCAATCAAATAATAATTCACACATTTTTGCCCTTCATTCATCAAGACCCAGTGTAATCTACAAAAATAATTTTGTGCTTTCCATTTCTATCAGTAAATTCTTGTCTAGGGGTGATTTAGGATTTAGAGATGAAGGATTTTAGATCTATGATTCGTCAACACGTAAATTTTTTTTGATTCTTCTTTCCTTCTATATAATTTTATCAAAATTTTATTGGCCAAGGAGGCTGAGTGATATCTTCACTACTAAGATCAAGTTCTTGGGAATGTTTCCATGATTTTTTTTTCAAACCACACAATTCCGATATTTTGTTCAATACTTCTCTCATTTAGAAGGTGCTTTTTAGTAAAAGTCTCACACTCTTACCCCAAAACGTATATCTGAATCATTTTATGGTTACGAAAGATATATTATGAAAACCTACTTGCTTTTAACTAAGTCAGTCTCAGATCTGGTACCTAAATATATAGTTTTGACTTTGGAGACTATATACTTTGTTACTCACTTTTCGTGCCTTCTTAGCTTCACGTGTTCAATATTAATTATAAGACTGAAGTTCCTTAGACCATGATTATCGCTGGTCTTCATTGGATCTCTTATCATTAAAAGTGAATAACTATAATCCAATGGACCTCTAAAATGTTGAATACTTCTCTTATTTGAAATAAATTAGAGACGGTTTCAGGCTCTACGTGTCACGATGTCATTGGATATTAGAGAAAAGGGGAAAAAATTAGGATCTTTGATGAATCTGTCATTTCTCTTCCATGACACCTCGTTTCGTCTTCGATCTCTCCGTCAAAGGCGAGGAAGATGACATCTCAATCGACGGATGATCGGCCTGTTCTGTCATCGGTTTTTTAGCGGCGGATGATCGGACAACCTTTTCGACGGTAAGCAATTCCTCTTTCTTGCCTTCTCTCCTCGTTTTCATCGGACATTTCAAAAATAAGTCTACGATTTACTTGTGGTTTGTTTATTTCTTCTTCATCGTTTTCATTAGATCATTATTGATAGTTGATGCCTTTGATTACATCGATTTCTTTGATTATCGACTGTTTTTTTGAATGATGGTTTGAAAAATTATCGATGGTGTCTTTGATTGAACTTTTCAGTTTGTTGAATAATTGATGGATATATAGCAATGCATATGCAAAATAAGAGGGTCTTTAATTTAGGTTTCTAAACCCTGTTTATTATTTGAATATAGGATAAGATACCCATTAGGGTATATTAGGGTATACAGCGATGCACATGCTCTTAGCTCAAGATTGATATTAACTACTTGCTTGTTGATTAAGAGAATATTCTGTTTGAATTTGTGTTTACCATTTATAATTGCATGTTACATTTTTGTAAAGGTTATTTTAAGAAATAATAGTAATTCCGTTTAGTAAACCCAAAATAAAAGTTTAAAATATTTTGAAAATGGAATCTGAACCAGTTTTCTTTTCTTGATAAATTGTATAAATGGTCCCAGTTTTACTTATGGGATAGTTATCGGTTGTTATTTAATCTATGAGTTGCTCTAGTTTTGAGGTTTAATTTACTTAAACTTAGTATCAGAAACACACTTTTTTATAACTGCAGATGATACTTTTACTACAAGAAAACATGCATGTGGTTTCACACACCTTTACGTAAATATCACTATTTATATAATGTCAAAATATATTACTTATTTGAGTACATATTAATTAAGCTTATTTCAGATCTCAAATGAGAAATTCAGTAATAGTATTTTAATTTGAGATGATGCTTTTTCCGGTGCACCTAAATTCTACTATAGAACCGATCATATCTTATTAATTACCATATTTTGGTTTATTCGAGTTTGATAACATGTTTTAGCTCATCAACTTCTAACCCAAATCCGACTGGGACTTACCGTTTAAATATTAATTAAGTTCTCACTTTACTTCAGACTAGATTCTAACTCCGTGCATCCGCACGGAAATATTTTTTATTGTTTAACGAATTTTGTAATATAATATGTGTTTTTGAGTTTAGATATAATTATAATTATAAATATATTTTTAATAAGTGAAAATATTGATTTTTGTGTTTAGATATATTTTTATAGTATTAAAATTAATTATGATTATAAAAATATAATTTTAACCCGTCCGCTAATATTAATTCAAAATGAACTATTATAAAAACATAATTCTAACTTTTCCGTTCATATTACCGTATAATATAAATATTTGTTAAAAGTTTGAGATGTATTAACAGTACTATTTAGCATTATAGTTTTCTAAAATTTAATCAACGAAGGGAGTACAACTGTTTTTTCAAACCACATTATAGTGTATGCAATAATTTTTAATTTTTTATGTTTTTATTTTGTATGAAAAATATATTTTTGATATACGTGTATAATTCAAAATTAGTGATTTTAGTTACCAAAATATTTTTAACCCGATTTTTATATATATTTTTAGTTCTATAAAATTTTAAAAATATATTTTTAATATTTATATTATATTTTTTAATTTTACCTATTATTTTATTATTAATTTGTAAATAAATCATAATCGTAAATGATATAGGCACGGGCCTATAGATGGGGATGGATCCTTGTTGTTGGTTGTGTAACTCTCTCAACAAGAACAGAAATGGGTTTGATATGAAAAGAAGATGGAACTCGATCAGTTGGTTGTGTAACTCTCTCTGATTGAGTCAAGGAATGAAGCGAATGATGATGCACACGGTGGAACGAGGGTCGCCACAAAGCTCTATGGACTGAACCTTGATAAGACCGGCGAGAGATGGATCAAACACCAACTCTCAAGAGGAGGATCAAACACCAACTCTTAAGCGAATTCAGAGAATTCAAAGACAAGACAAAGCTTGAAAGAACTGCGTTATTTTATTGATAGTAGGGTAAAAGATACACGGCTGCTTATAGGGGACTTTATAAGAGAGTCCAATGCAGCTTTGCCCTTCTTGGGGACTTGAAGCAAATTACATAATAAGGACACAACTTTCTGGGACTCTAAAGGAACAGACTTGTGCAATAACTAAAGAAATATTCTAAGATTTAAAACTATGAATGGAACCTGTAAAACAAACCAAAGACAGAAAAACCATATTAGGCAAGTAAATAAACGTATTCATTCCCTTACCTTGGTGGGTTGGACGGCTGAGATGATCTTAAGTTGGTATGATGCTGATGCTGAACAAGGACACTTCTTTGTTGGGTCGGAGAAGTGGCAATTCAGTTGTTGGGCTGTCTTGTATCAGGTAAGCTTCTTCTTTATTAGGCTCCTCCAGGCTTCTTTCTTGGACCGTGGCCTTAAAGCTTGGGTACAAAGAGTCTTCTT